AAGCCTTAGCTCTTGCATTAGCTTTCAACTTACACATAACTACATGAGATGTTGACCTTAGCCTGTCATGTTAAATAGTTTTTATTACAGACATTTGGGGTTCTTATTTTAATTTGGTTATATGTATTTTATGCTTTTATTTTTTTAATTTAATTGAATGCCTTAGATTGAAAACTTTGAATCAATTTGACTGTATGATCTGGTTGAATTGTGAAGTGCCATGAGATGACATGTGTTGTGAATTAGAGCTATGTAAATAAACTGAATTGAATTGAATTAATCGGAGTTGTTGTATTGGTTTGCTGTTGTTCACTGTGCAGCACTTTGGTTCTTGGGAAATGTAAAAGTGCTTCATGAATAAAGTTGAATCGGACTGGAATATCTCTAAAGGTAAAAAGCCAGTTGTGAGAAAGTAAAGGGTAGAAAGTAGAAATATTTGTGTGCAAAATAGCTGCGTAAGTACAGTGAATAAAACACCTCTGTGTAAGAATCCTGATAAATTTGGTTGGCATGTTTAACAAGGGGGCAGAGAAGGGAGACTGACTAGGATCAGTGACTTTAAGGACAATTCTAGAGAAATTATTACCATTACTATCCTTATCATTTACTACTGATTTTTTATGTCAAGTTGAGAAGGTTTGCAATGAATAGACCTCCCCAGCCAAGAAGGTGACACAGACCCTTAACCCAAGGACTCCCAGAATTCTGATTTGGTTCTACATTACTTTATTACATTAGCATCCCTTAGCTCCAAAGGTGGTACAACAATCTGATTGCTAAAGGTCTCTTTCTGTAAACTCGGGGTATGTTCATTCAAGCCAAAAACCACAATGACAACTTTTTCTGACAAGATTAGTTTTCTCCAGAAGAGATTTGTCTAATCAGTCTGGGAGGCAGAGGGATTAGCTAAGAGGATGTCTTCATCCTAGATGATGACACTTGTGGTGCAGATGCTTCATTCTGACCAACACAGTCATTTATCCTTACATGATCAGGTTGTACAGATGCATTTGGAACCGTATGATTTTAACTTTGTCGTGATATGAGAACATTCTAATTAGTTCTCAGTTATGGTTTTAAACTTTTAACACAATAACCTTAATGCCGCTGATGAGTGCATGTAGCTAACATACCTGCCTGGTTATTTTTAGATGGCCATTGCAATCCAAGAGTATATACAAAGTCTGCCATGCATGATTAGCATTGTTCTTCTTTTTTTGAGTTTTTACGGCACTAGTGGCTCATTTTTTTGACAGTATGCTGACACAGTGGAGGTATGACAGACATGCGGCAAAGGACCACAGGTCAGGTTCGAACCTGGGTCCACCGTGTCGAGGACTAAGGCCTCTGCACATGGTTTATGTTTGATAACAACTGGGCCACCGAAGCACACCCAGCATTGTTCTTCTTTGAATAGCTCCATCAACACCTTCTTCTGAGTGGAAAAAAAGGTATGCGAGGACATTATTCAATACATGTGTGGGAGTTTAATGAAAGATAATCATTAGCTGACGCTGAGGCCTACCCTCTGCAAAAAATAAACAAAATAACCTGCTTTACAAGTTGGATTCACCAGATGGATTAAGCTATTGGTAATGATAAGCACGCACATTCTGTGAGATGGGATGAATATTTGGGCAACGAGTGCTGAAACAAAGTCATGCCAATCTGATTTCTGTATATCACCATAAAAGATGAGAGTAATCTTTACAGGTAATGGCCACAATGGATGTAAATTTGTTCATAAGGATGGAAACTGGTGCTTCTTTATGGGAATTGTCATTACCATATAAACTATTAACTATTCAGTGTTTCCTTGATATCTGATTTTCAGCTTATACTTATAGTTGTCTGCAGCAGAGGCCATTGCACCGAACGTGTAATTGAATTTTCCTTTTTGATTTTCAGACTAACATCAGCAAAACCTTACAGTACTTGATGGCAGTTAAGAACCACGTGTATTTAGATTTTGTTTTATTTTACCTTTAACTTCTAGCATGACTTAGAATTGACACATAAAAAAAAATTTGATTATAACTTATACTTATCACTTGAAAAAAAACTGTACAATCCTGGCGTTGGCTGCTCCACTGACGTAAGTCACATTAATATTGGCACGCAAAACAGCAAGTGATTACGACAGCAATATGATTGGGAGACAGGTAGTTACAAATTCCTCTGCTTACTTGGAAATACTTCCTTGTTCAACTGCTGACATTCAAGACTGACTAGACGCTTTCACTGCTCCAAAGAGAGCTTAGAAATAATTTTTATCAGTGATACAACACCATTAATTAAAAAGAAATGTGGGAGAATTTTTTTATTTATTTTTTTTAACCCATGAAAAACAAGACATAACGGATCAGTGGGGCTGTAATATGGCAAAAAAATAACACTATGGGAGGTGCAGTAATTTACCAAAAGGCACTGATGAGGTTCTATATGATGAAATAAGCCTTTTCCTCCTAAAACTTTGTTGAAAAAAGTGTTATGGCATGACACACAACCAAACTGGAAATTTTTGGCAAGAGCCACTAAATAGAAATATTATTGTGTTTTTCATCAAAACTGAAAATAAGAACATTTCCTAATTCTAGTCAATTATAAAAAAAAACTCCAAGTGTTTGTTAGAAAGTTGAGAAAATTAAGGTCAAGCAATAATTAACTTTAGTCCAGAAATACATTGTTTCGTAGCCATTTCATAATAATTTTTCACATGGTGCTTAATGAAGGATAAACTAAAAAAATACACAACAGTTTGTGACACAGAAAAACGACATTAGCATAAATGTAAATCATAATAGCCCTCATCAAACCTAAGAATTAGTGAAATAATGTCTTCAGCTGCTTTTCAAAAGTATCAGCAGAGTCCAAACTCAATAGAAATGGGGGCAGTACGTTCCATCCATGTAGAGAATAAGTCTGGAAAGATAAGTCACTTCTAGTCCTGCCATGTGCGAGACGACGACCTCAGATCATAGAAGGAAGAATCATCTAGTTTAACTGAGAGGTTATTCCAAAACTGTTTTTCATTTTTCAGCTATATACCCATAAAATGGTATCAGAATTGACTCACGACCCAAATATAAGATTGACTATACAAATGTTTCTAAAAACTCCATTAACCAGGTGTGTAATACCCTGACATCCAATGTAGCTCAAAGCGATGCTGTTACATCTTTATTTCACTATAATAACCTTTACATAAACATTTATTATTTAGTTTAACATTCAATTCTATCTGATCAGATCTATCAAATCGTTTAAATATACCATCCAATCATATATATCACTGTCATGAAACCACTGATTGATTTAATTTGAAGACAGTCCCTTAAATTATTGTAAAAGCTAAATCAAAAACGATACCTATATCTAGGAGTCCAGGATATAGGAGTAAACTTCTGCTAGACATGACAGCCTGGTGCCATTGTTTCTTTTTTTTTTTTTTTTTTAGTTCAACTGTACGTGCTTGTTATTTTAAAGGAGAAAAGAAGGCTTATTGGATAAAAACCACAAAAAACTAAAGTAAACATTTTGAAATACAGGACTCTACAGATTGTTTTATCAGTTATACTTAAAAAACTGGATAGTTTGAAGACGTTTCCCTTCCCATCTAGAAAGTTTTCTCAACTCAAAATGTCTGGAACACCTGAGTTCCAGGCTTTATGGAGTAGCCCAACAAAGCCTTTTCATGGCTTAGAAAACATGCAAATTGAACCGAAAAACAGATTCAACTCTATGTAATGGGGAGTCGTTGAGGTCGCTGTTGACCAGCAATACCCGACACTGGCCTATCCTTCTGAAATAGGAGTCCTCAGGGTCATTGTTGGCCTGGCTGACCAGGCGAGATATTTTGGTTCCTTGCATAGAGATGGAGGTTGAGATGATAGTGGGAAGGAACCAAATCTATTGCTGCATTCTAGGTTTTTGAGAGCTGGAGCCTGAGACTACCCCCTCTGTTTAAGGTTGGTTTTTCTCTCTTACATAAATGGCTTCCGTCAAGCTGTATACATTTTATCGTCTGTAGTGTGAGGTTGCAGAAAGCAATTATTCTGGCTTTTCGGGATGAACACAAAACAGGTTTTTAATCGTCCCTCATTGCTGATCATGACACACCTTCAGGCACTTGACATAAACCAACTCAACAGTTGTTAATGCACACCCATTTTTTTGGTGTCCCTTCACTAAAGAATGGGCCTACATGTTCAACGTGTGTGGGAACATTCCGTAATGAAGAACTGTTTATGTCTAATAATAACCAGATGGATGCAACATGTGGGTAATGGTGATTCAAACTGAATTCTCAAACACATTTTTTATTTTTTTTGCACAAATCAAAAATTGCACTATCTGCATTTTGGGAAAGATAAAAAAAAAAAAATATGCAAATGCTTACATAAACTATTTATTGAATTACAATGTATAAAATAACGATGCATAATAAGTCCTACATGAAACATAAATGAATTGCACCATGATTCCCACAGTCAGTTTAGCTTGTTCTCCTCCCTAATGGAATTCATGCATAAAAACTAGTCTTAAAGTGGTGCATGTCCTGATGGACCTGTGTTGTTTTCCAAGAAGCATTAGTGTTAACAAGTTTTTCAGTGGGCCAGAACTGTCCTAAGAAATCCAGGCACATGCAGAGAAGGTCCACAGCAGTACATGCACCACCACCTTTTCTCATTGTGATGGCTGAATCTCAGAACAATTCATTTCTTGGTTAAATGGGAGGGAATCTCTCAGGATTATGGGAATTGTTAAAAAAAAAGAAACAAAAAAAAAACATCTAGTTGTCACTTTATAAAGCTGACAAAATGTACAGAAAACAGTATGAAGAAATTCAAAGCCTTTTTATTAGTGGTATTCATAAATGCTTTGTGTGAAAATTAATGGAAGGATCATTTCAGTTATTATTTTCCTTTTCACTACAAATGTATTCATTCTAGTATGCTCTCTGTGTGTTTTCTAATTAAATCAATTTTTACACAATCACATAGTTTTTAAAAACTTTTATTTCTTGATGTTTTTTCTTAATGTTTTTGTGATTTATTTCTGTCATTTTTTTTAGTTTGATTTAACCAAGCTGTTGAACTTTAAATTACAACATACTTCACGGAATGCTGGGTGTTTGCATTTTAGTCCCAAATCATCAATTCAAACATTTTCTTTCCCACACTTTCAAGCAAAGAGGACATTTTAAAATGATCCCATTCACTTTAATATTGTTTAAAACAATGAAAATAAGAATTCTGCACACAGACAAATCTCAAAAAAACAAAATAATACAAGGCATTGTGCATTTTAAGTCAAAGTAGTGCTTTGCAAATATGATCAAATTTCACAATCATAACTAAATAAATTAAAACATTTTAATTACATGTCATGTTACAGGTTCATATCAAGATACAATTTTAAAATGCAAAAAAAAAAAAAGAAAATGTTAATTATAAAACAATTATACAATCATTTAATCAGAAAGATCAAAATCTGAGAGCTTCATTTCTGAGAACCAGCAGTCCTTGGTTTATTATAAACAAGGAAGTCTGAAATGTCATGCCACACGTTGCTGTCATGATAAAGATAATTCATGGAGGACTGAAGGGAAGGTTGGAGGGTGTGTGGATAATACTCGAACAACCACAACACAATACCCCACACCAGTGTGGCGAAAAGTGGGAAAGGGTCTTTTTTGGGTGCAGGGATGAACCCTTTTTCGACAGCTAGTCGAGACAAGGCGAAGAGGATCCTGGACAGCAGGTACATGTTGATCTGAAGGGATCAGGAGACAAAAGAGAAACTGTTAAACCCAGGAAATCGATCAGCTGCTACAATCATATGGAATAACCTGCATGAAGAAAGGAGTGGGTGAATTAAGTTAAAAGTTAAACCACGACTTTAACTAGTAAATCTACCACAAACAAACCCAAAATTTAAGGTGATTCTATTGAAATTTATTATGTACAATAGGCAATAAAAGATTATAAACCGCTCTTACAAAATACGCTAAACTAATACGTGAACAAATAGATAAAGATTGTGAAAGAGCATGTTAACTTGGAAAAATTGATAAAAATAAATTAAAGTATAAAAGGAAAAAGTTAACTTAATGTAGCTGAAGTCATGGGGTAAAATAATGATAGAACTTTGCATGTAAAAATTCAGTCTTAGGTAAATCTAACCTTTCGTACGAATACTTTAGCACAGTTTAGTATCTTGACAAATTACCAATTGCTGATGGGAACAGATGCTTCAGTCTGCCAATATGCGCTCAAATGCTGCTTGACTAATTGTAGCAATTTACTCAGTGATTCTACGTGATTTATTGTTGAAGCTCTTTCAGGAGAAGTGTATGACAGCATGTTTTCCTAGCAACACACGGTGATAAGCCATTTATCATCTGCAAACTTGTCTATGATGCAAGGAACAAATGCTTCCGTACTAGGTTAACATCCAGCGTGCTGGAATTAGTTCTGATTAGAAGTTAGTGAGGATTCTTCAGTCCATGGTGAATCTCCTCAGAAGTTGCAGAATGACAGCCATTGTTTTTTGTGATCACATGTATGAGATGTTTAGAGCTTAGACCGTCACTGATGCTGATCTTTAAAATTGTGAAGCCATTGACTCTCTCCATAAATTGTCTAAGGTAGACAGGACCTGCTTTTCACCCAACAGCCTTCTTTGGAACACAACATGTTGACATTGTACAGCCAGTTTTCGCAGGATCAACATAAAAAGGCTCCCATCTCTTCATTGTAGGACTCATTTCCATCCAATATGGAGCCATTAACTGTGGTTTGAATAAATATTTAGCAGCAAAATCATTGAACTGGTTGTATTACATAGGGCTAACTACATATCTCTGTTGAATACCAGTTATAGCAAGCAGGTAGGTTAGGTCTCAAAGCTTTATAAGGACTGTCAAGGGAATTAATAACTTGTTTTGTTGTTTTTAATGGGACTTATGATTGATACACTGTGTGCAGAATTATTAAACAAGTTGTATTTTTTTATTATTTTTAAATATTGGGCAACAATTGTGTTCTCAATCAACCCAAAAGATTCCTTAATATCAACGTTTCCTATTTTTTGGAAGTTGTGTTCTTTTTTCAGATTTGGCCATTTTAAGAGGATGTCTGTGTGTGCAGGTAAATATTACTGTGCAGAATTATAAGACAACGTAATAAAAAACAAACATATACCCATCACAACTCAAAATTCAGAACACTTGCAACATTTACAAAAAATAGATCAGTGACCAATAAAGCCACCTTTCTTCACCATGATGCTCAAAAGCCTTCAAAATTCTTCATCCCTAGATTCTTTCAGTGACTTGATCTGTTTGCGATCCACATTGCGTGCAGCAGCCGCCACAGCCTCCCAGACACTGTTCAGAGAGGTGGACTGTTTTCCCTCCCTGTAGATCTCACATTACATGAAGAACCACATGTTCTCAATGGGGTTCAGATCAGGTGAACAAGTGGTCCATGTAATTTTTTTTTTCTCCTTTTAGACTTTTTCTGCCAGCCACGTTGTGGTGCATTTTGATGCATGTGACGGAGCATTGTCCTGCACGAATATCATGTTTTTCTTGAATGATGGCGAATTCTTCTTGTATCACTGTTTCAAGAAGTTGTCTTCCAGAAACTGGCAGTAGGTCTGGGATTGATCTCGACTCCATCCTCAACCCAAAAAGGTCCCACAAGCTCATCTTTAATGATACCAGCCCATACCACCACCCCACCTCCACCTTGCTGGCGTCTGAGTCGATAAGGAACTTGCTGCCCTTTACTGATCCAGCCTCGTGCCCATCCATCTGGCCCATCATGACTCACTCTCATTTCATCACACCAAAACACCTGGGAGAAATCAGTCTTCAGATATTTCTTGGCCCAATCTTGACATTTTGTCTTGTGTGTCTTGTTCAACGGTGGCATTTTTTCAGCTTTCTTTACCTTGGCCAGGTCTCTGAGTATTGAGCACCTTGTGCACTCCAGACATGTTGCAGCTCTGAAATATTGCACAACTGGTGCCTAATGGCTTCCTGTCAGCTTCACGCTTGATCCTTCTCAATTCATGGGTCATCTTGTGTCTTCTTTTTCCAACACGCTTCTTGCGTCCCTGTTGGCCATTTTCCATGAACCACTTGATTGTGCAATGATCCCACTTCAAAAGCTTGGCAATTTCCAAAGTGCTGCACCCATCTGATAATTTTTGACTTTAAAGAGTCTGTCAAATCTCTTTTCTGACCCATTTTACCAAAGGAAAGGAAGTTGCCTAATAATTAAGCACACCTTGTATAGGGTGTTGATGTCATTAGGCCATATGCCTTCTCATTACAGAGATGCACACCACCTGATTTACTTAATTGGTAGTTGGCTTTCAAGCCTATACAGCTTGGAGTAGGAAAACATGTATGGAAAGGATGATGTGGTCGAAGCACTCATTTGCCTAATAATTCTGCACACAGTGTATTTTTAACTAATTAAGTAGTCATTTAAATGTCTTCATCATTTAGTCTAAAATTGCAACTATAGTAGTTATTGTTTCGCATATGTAAACATAAATTAGTAAATGAATAAGTATAAATAAACTACATAAGCATACATAGGCTTTATTAACCCAGAAGGACAAACTCAGTAGAAAAGTTAAATGAACTTCCATCAAGCATTTTTCAGATGCTATTTTTTTCTTGCAGGGAAAAATCTAATGAAGTAACAGACACTTTTGTCCTGGAGAAGCATCCTACATCTACCTGACTGTTGATATTGTTGTTGTCTCCGAACACCAACCATCCTCCAACACAGGCAGCGAGGAAGGAATGGGACTGTAAACTCTTTCCTTGGATCTTCTGCTGTAGGGCTTGTAGTCCTTTGTATGTGAACACAAAGCAGGCCAGGTTCCTAGAGTGGGTGTATGTTGCTTTCAAAATGGCCCGAAGTTTGTCTTTCAAACTGTATTAGAAAAAAACACCAACAATAAAACATCTATTTTTCTCATCAGATGGACATAAAAGGTTGTTAATTCAAGGTCTAAATTAGTTACTCACCTGCCACTTCGAAACAGAAATGTCATTACCAGGGCATGTGGTGCTCTGATCTTTGCTCCATATCTAAAACAATAACTTAATCAATTAAAAACATACCTTATTAAGAGTAAAATAACATTTGCATACACTTGCTAGTTATACATGACTCTACACTGGTTAAAATTAACAAAAGGTGGAACTTCAGCAGGACGATATCTGATGATAGATCTAGGGGAAATATTAAGAGTAAAAGTAAAACAGCTAAGCTAGCTAGCTGCTTGTTATTACTCACACAGCACCGTTCCTGAATCCTTTCACCACTGCCAAGGCTGCCTTATATTTCTCTTGTTGTAAAAGATTATTGATGGTGTACAGGACAGTTCTTATCAGGTCATGATCAGCCATGACTTTCAATCGATCCGAGGGGACACAATTAAAGAATGCAACTTGTGTGTCACACCGAAATTCGACCGCAGATGTACTGAACCAACGCCACAGGTTCCTGAATGATGCCTCTCTTAATATCTGCAGTTTAATTAACTCAAATAAATTAACAACTTTTACATTTCATTTCAGATTAAGTCATAATATAAATACAAACTATTTAGTCATGATAAAAATCTTTTAGAAGAGGTTTGAGAGAATTGGATATCTTATAAAATATATCTCATTAAAGATTAAGAATCACTTGTTCTGGAACTATCAACATATTTTCTTATAGCACTCTGCGTCATGAACTATTGGTGTAGCCTTTTTTATTATTATAGTGAAATAAAAAAAAACAGAATAAAGCAAACTAACATCCATCATTACCTAAGCAACCTTTATCCTTACAGTAAAACTAATATCTGCTTTCCATTTGCTCGAAAAACTAAACAGTTATAAAAAAAAAAAAAAAAAATGCATATATCAATAAGATTTAAAGCACGCCATTCCTCCTCTGACTAAAAGACTTATTTGAAATTTTGTTTATACTAAAGGAGCCCTTACAGAGTGCATGGACTTTTTTAAACCTTACTGTATATTGTTCTTGTGACTTATTAAAGAAACTAAACTTAAATCTACGGTTCTTACCAGAAATAATAAACTGAAAATGTTTTTAGTTGATTATGAATTTGGTTGCAAACAAACTTCTCTGATTTAAGAAAATGTGTCTGTCGGTTGGATTTTCAACATCAGGCAACTGAGGCTACTTGCACAGGATTTATTTTAAAACGTTTTAAGAATAAAACTTTGTATTTTTAATGTCAAATCTTGAAAGAGAGAATTTTAAGTACCTGGTATAAAACAGAAACAAGACGTTTTTTTCCACAAAATGAAACCAAACTTTTCTTTGTATTTATGCAAGAGAATATTTTAAGAAAAAATATTTGTGGCATCGTAGGTGGTAATAAGCACACATCCAGCTTTTTAATCATTTTACTATAATTTGTTTTTATCAATCACTTCAACACATGAAGCTCATATTTTTAATAAATAGAATTTACCTACTGACTTTCACTTATCAAAAAGTTAAAAATAAACTGTGACTACACAATTGACACCAACTTACAACATTGCAGTCAGTACAACTAAAATACACTTTTGCATATTTCTACAGACTTGTTTGTCCCATGATATGGAACAAAGTGGTGATTAGAGAAACAAGCAGGGAATTCAACCAGCTTTGTGTGTCATTGTGCCAGTATTAGCTATAATCTGGTCACATGTAGGGTAAAGTTTACATATTACATTAATCCTCTGCAGTAGTCTGAACAACAGATACAGTCTTTGTTATGCTTGGGCTGGTTTACAGACAAACACAGACAGAAAATAGACTAATGGTAATAAGGACCGGATACAGTAAAGGACAAAGAAAGCATTTAATTGTAAAGAAGGGGGGAAAAAAAAATCTTTGGATAAAGTCAATGTACAAGTGTAGCAAAAACACAAAAGGAAATAAAAAGTAACTTTAAAGGGAACCAGCAGATCATTTTTGTTTTAATTCTTTAGTCAAACGTAACATCCTTTCCAGTTATAGTCCTTAATTTGCAGCACAATCACAATTTAAAGCTCAGAGTTACCAGTAATTACATCGTTTATAAAATGCTTGGATTGTGTGAAACTGTTTTAGACTTAATTTTATTTAAAATAAAGGGTGTATAAAACCTTTGCACCAAAATGTTTAAATGGCAAATAAAATTGCAAAAAAAAAAAAAAAAAAAAATAGATTTTAAAAAATCCAGTTGCTGTGATAAACACAAAAAAAGAGGTCTTAAATGAGAGCTTCCTCAAACAGCATAAGAGGAGGTTGAAAACGATAAAATAGCTCTGTATTCTGACCAGTCAGCAAACTTTCTTATTTTAAAAGCTTAAAGTAGGATTACGACTATTTAAAACGCATCTTGCATGACTACTGGTACCTCTGAAACAGGCCTTACACCAATGAATCTTTTATTGCAGTAGTATAATCCCTCAATGCAAAACTTGCTGCAGTTGCAGACAGATTTTTTAAAAATATTTCTTTTCTAGGTGACTAGATCTGAGCGTGGTCTCCTACCTTTCCCTCTTTCATTCAAAGATCACCGCAGAGACATGGTCTTCAAGAGCACCACATAGTTACGTTCCAAACAGGAATTGATCAATCCCATTTCCTAAACAATAGGGTCATCCTAACAAAGTACACATTAAAAATGCTTCGCTCACATTTATTCAACTGCAACTGTTGGGACAGACATCATTTGTGGCACCATCAATCTTTTGTTTTATTTTATATAATTTCCCCTCAACACACATACAAAATTTTGCAGTTTGATAATGTTACTGCAATAGTAGATTGTTATAAGGCTTTTGGACACCTTTAGAAGAGGTAACAATAATCATGGAGGACTTAAGCTAAATGGCTCTAAATGTTCTAGGCCTTTATGAAATGTAGAGAACACCACTGACATGAAAAGGTTCACAATTTTACTAAACACCTTTCTATACAGCCTGGTTTGATTTTAAGTTCCTAATTACAATATACAAATCTAAGTGAGTCGCCCCCCTCCCTATAAAACTAGGGTTCTGTGTCACTCCTTGGGAAATTCTGCTTTATTGATCGAGTATTTAAATACACAGTATTAAGACATGCAACCTTTAGAGTCTGGCATAAAATCAGACTAACAGCCTCCAGTTTTAGTAAAATGTTTATATTAGGAATATCCTAATTAATATTTAATCAATTCAAGCATGGCAAGAAAGATATTTTAAAGAAATTTATATCATAGTCTTTAACTTTCAGAAGTCTATAAATTTGGATACAATTTAGTCCAGTTGTTTATTTTAAATTGTCTTTAAAAAACTTAGAGCAGCCCAGATAATTAAGAGAAGAATTTGTAAGAATCTAATAGGTTTATTTAAATATATAAGTTAAACAAAGGAAAACCAGTGATTTTATTTAAAGCAAACCTAAATTACATTTTTTTTAATGTGAGAGATTAACAAAAAAATCTAAAGAAAATGGCTGAAATATCAGGAGATCAGTGGATCTGCAGAAATCTGGTCCATCTATGGGAACAATTTCAGAGGCTACTTGTTCTTCTGTTAAATAATGTCCACTATAAACAGCGTGGGAACATCCAGCAGTGACACCGATCAGGACATTTGCATCAACCTCAAAACAAAAGCAAAACATTTTAAAGGTGCTGACTTAAGCTGGTAGGGAGGTGTGATTACACATAGAGAAAACTGTTTTGTGCTAACATGGTATAATGGCTCCACAAGGAAAAAATCATAACCTCAACAGCAACAGAAAAAGAAATATTTAGTTCAAAAATGCACCCATCGCTAATTTTTTTTACTTCTGGATATCCTGTGATGTGAGGAAACTAGAATGAAAATGTGTGACTATCATAATCGCCACAGTGGAAATGATACAAGTCTAGGAATATCATCCAAACTGTAAAATACAGGAAGCAGCATCCTGTGGTGTGTGTTTTCTGCTGCAGGAGGGAATGGTGCACTACATTAAGCTGGGATGATATCGCGAGGACAGGCCTGTGTGGAAATATTTAACAATTTTATAAGACAAGTTAAAGCTTGGGTCATCTAAATCCACAATGAAACCAAGAATAGTGCCAAGTTACATAAGAGCATATATGAGTCAATGTTTTGGAATGGATCACAAAAGCTCTCCTCTAATCCTATAAAATGAATTCTGGGCAGAGCTAAAAAAAAAAAAAAAAAAAAAAAAAAAGGGGGTGTGTGTGATCAAGATGGACTACATAACTGACCAGTTCAACCTGATACTTCTGGAGAAATGGACCCAAGTCCAAAAACGCTTGCATAATGTATCTGATTACAAAATAAATAAAATCAGTGATCAGTGTCACTGTTTGAACACAAATGCTGCAAGATACATAAAGTTTTTATGGAAATCTCTAAAAGGAAATAATTGTAAAAAAAAAAAAAAAACATATTTCAAAAAATGTAAATATTCTGGTGCTTTGTAAAATAGTTTTTAGTAATCCCAACATTTCTACAACATGAAGTTTAGTCTGATTTAATCCCAGGGGTATAAAAAAGCATGCATGTCTTTATGTAAAGTGCATTTAAATGTCTAGTTTGTACATAAGCTGCAAAAGTCAATCGATAAAACCTTTCAAATTTTAAACCTTAAATTTTCTTTGCTTGAGACCAAAGCTCAGCAGAACCCAACTGACTCACTTTTGTTTCATCGCAGTGATTTGGGTTCCTGAAAACCAGCCAAGAACGGGTCCTCGGCTTTGTTATCATAACCTTCACAGTATCCTTCTCCCTGAAAAATTAGGTAAACATTAATGATCTAAGCTGCAGAATTAACAGTAGCATCACTCACTAGCGAAAGGCAAACCACAGCAATAGGAAAGCCAAAGCATGGGACTGTTCTATATAATGTACTGAGTTTTAACTACAAGGTAAAAACTAAACCTTAGAAAAACTAATCAAATACTTTTCTGACTCTAACATTTGCAAAATGATGTTTCCTACAAAACTATTGCACTTAAAAAATACCTTCTTCTAATAGCAATCATAATCTCACAGCTCACAAAAACCATGTGCAAACTAGTTCAACTTATTAACTCAGTCAGATGTTAAGCAGGTAACCTGTCAAAACAAGAGAACGTATTATGCAATGAAAGTCATCACATCTAGCAAAGTTAATAAAAAACTGTATATGTGCTACAGGATTCATGTCAGTGACCTCTTAGAAAAATATTCATCCTTTCATTTGTACATCAAAATCTCAACGACCTCAAACCACAAGGGTCCTTTTTTTATCTTTTAGGTATTAATCTTCATATTTTGACTCATATATTACACAAGTTTTCTTCCTCATACATTATGCTTGTGCATAGGCCCAACAAAGTGGTTCTGAAGAAATGACTACACAGAATCAGTGCCCTAAGTGTAGAAACTGCCCTTTCTCAGCCATACAGTGGGTGCAGGCATGACAGAGTGAGAAAGGCGTCTCGTTTTGTCTCCACCGCCTTAATGTGGGCTTTGAGACATTAGCTGGATAAGGGAGGATAAGGGTGTGGAAGATTTACAGGTCCATTGTTAAAAAAATGAAACTATGATTAAACAACTTTCTATTCTTTTGTTGACATGCTATTAGGACAGATTCTACCAGGGAGAAAGCATTTCTGGACTGCAGAGAGAAACTGCTGAAAGTGCTTCTTTCAATCTGTTCCATGCGCAGGTTGCCCTGATAAAAATCAGGAGTTTTTGATGTTTTACTCCTGCCCAAAGCCTTCAGTCTCCTCAATGGCGAACATGAGTTTCTCCTTCAGCTGCTCATAGCTTTTATAAGGAGGGAGGTCCAGACGGTTGAAGCTAAACAGAGAAACAGAAAGAAATTTCTTGTGTTAAGAAATAAAGTATTAGCTGAACATTTTCCAGCCTTAAATAAAACAAATGCTAAAATGATCATGTTTAAAGAAAAAAAAAAAAAAAAAAAACTTATGCAAAATTGCTGTTTTTTTTTTTTTTTGGAAAGTTTTAAAATGTCACAAAAAAGAAGGAAATGTTTCGATCTACTGGTCTAAAGTGAATTAACCAGGCTGTGCAAAGCTTCATTTAGCCAAGAGGCAATGTTATGCATAGTTGTAAGAAACTGGAAGTAGTGGTTACAAACTAGAATGGACAGCACATCTGAGAAAAATGAAGAGAGCTTTTCAGGTATGTCTTGCTAATATGTTGTAATAGTTCTGCCACATCAAATAGTTGGTGGTGTTACATCCTGTCTGCGGAATAAAGAAAGAAATTGCAAATCTAAAACATGCAGTAAGAGCCACAGGCACCGTAGGCTTGGCAGAAACTGCTGCTCAGTTATGTGAGGCAAGCAAATGTGTTTCCATCTCCGTTTAGGGCTTTCACTCTTTTTTGAAAGAGCCAAAATCCATCTAAACAGGAGAACAAGCTTTTTGGTATAATCAAAGAAAAAAACAAAAAAAGCTGATGGAGAAATGTTTATAAATTTAGCAGGAAAACATTCTTACCATGTGTGGCTTCTCGGAAGCCAGTTTTCTTTTCCTACTTTCTCAATGCAAAACTTCTGTGGACCATTGCTTCCTATTTTCATGAGGCAGAGGAAAATTGAATTAGGAGGAACTCATGATGATGCACAGAATGGCTGATTTTCACGTCGGTGTTGATTTTTCATACCCATCAAATCAGCAAAGCCTCCTACAGGAAGGCGGCAGGTCCCCGTTACAAACTGCAGGAGTCTCATTCGTTTTTCATTGTCCATCTCCTTCACAAACTGCAAACACAGTTATGTTTTTATTAGTTTGCAATACCCGAAAATATATCTATCTCTAATATGTAATATAAAAAAAATGAAATTCATATTTTATTGCTTATTAAAAGAAAATAAATCGACATTTTTTTGCAGAGCTTTAGTAAAACTCCAGCAGCACACAGCTAGCATTAGCTTCAATGGTGTTTAAATAAAAACTTTATGGGAATATTTGATTCTGAATGGGCAAAAGTCAATAAAAAATTTCGGCTCGTCTCCCACTTTCTGAACATGTCTCAGGAAGGAAATCTCCAAATTCTTATTTTTGACATATTATTTTCCATAAAACTTTTTTTCCCCTTGTTCATAGAAGGATTTCATATAATCATAAAAAGAGTTGCACTAAATAAGGAATTATTCCCAAACTGCACCAATACAAAAATGAAGCTTTGATTCACTGAAGAGCTTAGAAGGTTTGATTCATTATATGAAAAATTTTCGGAACAAACCTGCCAGAACCAAAGAATCTGCTTGCTGCTTCGAGCATAATGTCTATAAATGGTGTTTCTCTGCCAGTCAACCAGGTCGATTTCCTGCATCCCACAGAGCATTACCTAAAGCCAGAGAGAAGCATGTTAGAAAAGTTTACCACATGACAGAATACACTATAACAGCGTCTATGCTACAGGTAATCCTTTTCTACTGCTCATATTTGTGAGACTGACAATGTGCAGAACGAGATTTAACGACAAGAAATATTTAGTTCAAAATCTAAACCTTTTTTTTCAATACGTTTTATTGTTATTGCATTAAATGCAGAAAATATATTTTCCACTCTGGAGAGATTATCATCACATTTTAAACTTCTTGCTTTTCAAACATAGTTATAAAAAATTCCAAATATTTTTATACTTCCAACTCCTTTGCATCAAAGTACTGCAGGTACTGCTGAGGAAGAACTTCATTGAAGCCCTCAAAGAACGCCTGGGTCTGCTCCTCCACCCCTCTGGATAGCCTCCACTCTGCCACCAACCTGCAGCAACAGAGACATAGACGTTATACTCTGAAGGATAAAATTCATTAAAAGATCATTATTACATAAGAAGCAGAAGAGAACGCAGCTGCACCTGATGTATTCCTCTTTGTTTTCCTCAGTTACTGGAATGTTTCCTCCATCTGGTTTCAGCTCATGAGTGCTGACCTCTCCCAGGATCTCCTTATCAACAGAGAAGAACATTTCCAGACCGCACTCCTCTATATTATTGTCCCTGCATGACAGAAAAATATTTTATTGCCAATTCTGTTTCAAAGCCTCCAGTGCAGCTGGCATCGAGTGTGAAGCAGCAAACACCCTAGACAAGAGATAGTGGACCATGCAGACACACAAACTTTAGGAGTTCAGAGAGAGCAGTTAACCTAACAGTCATATTTAGGCTGCTGCAGGAATATCTGATGGAATCTATTCCTGCGCCGTAAAAATGCTCAAACCACATGAAGAGAATCCCCCTTCTTGTTGCAAGGCAACAGCTCTACCAACTGCCCCATGGTGCAGCCATTTGTTTGTGAGACTTTGTTTAATACCCAGAAGAAAAAAACATTAACAATGTGGGGGATATATAAAAACCCTGAATAATGTAACCATGTTTTTTTTGCAGGTCTAGAGCCATATTTGACACTTTGGAGCCTCTATAATGGATCTTAATAGAGGATAAAAATGATATAAAGAACTAACTAATATACTATAATAACAAATACCCATCTTAGAGGATTTAATGTTACTTATAACAAATATCTAAATACAATTTTCACAAAACAATGACATTAAAAGAACCAGAAATATGATTTCAGAACTATTTTTCATCTAATTACCTTGGAAATTAATTGTTTTGGTATCATGTTTTTTTTTTTTTTACATCAAATGGTGTAAATTAGAATAAATATCCATATTTAATCTTTATTAATCTTTTTTTTTCCCACATTTTAAAAGCTAATAAATACAAAAAAGCAGTTGCTTGTTTAAGATAGCAACTGATATAGCAGCTATTTAACAAAAGAACAGCATGTATTTTATTTAAAAGGCATGAAATATTTTGCAGCTCTGAACGACTTTTATTTAGTGACACTGAAGGCAAAATGGCTTTTTGGATAAGAAAGGTAGCAGAACGCTAAACCAAGCCTTCATTTCTCATGGAAAAATAAGCAGCTGACCATAAAGAAAAATATCTGACTTCTTTAAACCAACTGTAACATTAATGCTTTTATGAAGTGAGTTAAATTAACCTGGATTGTAGTGTTAATCGTGCCTCTCGTGTGTTTTGCATACGTGCTACCTACTTGATCCAAATAAGTGAATTGTAGAATTCTGGATCTATGGATTCCAGGTCTTTAAGAGCCAGAGGTTTGTTCAAAATCCGCTTGTAGAAAGGCAGCGAGAAACCCGTATCAATGAACTTTCCATGGAACAAAGCCTAAGGGGAAAATAATGAAGGAAACAAAAAGAAAAAAATCCATGTAAATCAAAATGTATTATATCAAGAATTAATTTCCAAATCAAGAGCAAAAAGTACCATGGCAATGAAGCGGCCTATGAACTTAAAATATTTAAGATGATCCGGGTTGATATAAGAAGCAGGGTTGATCTGAAGACAGTAGTTGTCCTTTCCAGCGTACTCAAACAAACAGTACATGGGATTTAGAACTTCATGGGAGAGCAGGAAGAACCATTCTCTGAAAATATAAATGGACAAAACATGTAAGGCACCATAAGTGATGTAATGATGTGATTAAATTGTTAATGATCACAGTATCAACTAAACGTCCAAAGCTTTTATTACATCATGGTCAATGATTTTTTTAAACCTTGGGTGTTCCCTAAAAAAAATAAAAATCATATCTGCCAGGGAGGTGTTTGCACACCCAGCTACTCATGCAGCAAAAATTTCAGAGGGATTACCTGGCTACGCCTCCGTAGTCCAAGCCTTCCTCTCCAGGGAAAATAATCCACAGTCTCCGCCTCAGATCTTGCGGGTGAAAACTCATTATCTTTGAAAGTCAGAAATGAAACCAGTTACATAACTCACCAACCTGCAAGAAAAGACCAGAATAACACTTCGAAACCAGGCAAAAAGGCAAGACCTTACCTGCTGAAAGGAATCCTCAAACAAGGTTTTCCTGGAGACGGTAATCTTGGTATGCTGAGGCATCGATAATTGCTAAAAGAATAAACACAAAACGTACAAAAGTACTTAAAATAATGAAGGTAAAACATGAAAAAAACCACAACAAATGAATTAAAGTGTGGTGTGATAAATAAAGCACAAACCTGACACCAGAACCTGAAGTATTGCACTTTGGCTTTGAAGTCCCGAACATAAGTGATCTGTGGGCCGTTCTCGCTGTAAAAATGAGAAAAAAAGAACGGATTATCTGCAGGCTGCTCTCCCTATTTACCGACACCATTAAACATTATGAAGAACCACTTACAGGGAAGATTTCCCTGTGCGGGGGTCAATGTAGGTTGTGGTCTTCCGGTTGTGGTCTACAAAGTAGGGTGTGCCATCCACAGTGAACCTCATCTCCCAACCTTCAGGTAAGGGTTTGTCATTCAGAAGTCTAAGCAAAATATGTAAATAAACAAAGAAACAGAACATAAATAATCAGAAAATCATTCATTCACATATTGGATTTACAATCTAATCAATCTTGTTAATATTAATGTCTTAGAGTGACCCAGGTTCTTAGAGGAAACTACAGATTAGGGCGATAGAACCAGATTGTAACAGCACCTTTTTATTTATATATGACCAAAATACTGTAATCTCAGAAATATTTTAAACACAACATAATGTCAAGCTTTAAAGTAGCTCAAAGAAGGATTATTTTAATCAATGATAATCTATACCTTTTACAAAATGCATCTATAAATCATCAGTCCTGGCAGAAAGCTGTGACTCTAGCTAACGCACTTGTTCCCTGTTTCCCTTTAGGAAGTTGAGGACAATTTTTTGCAGGTAAACTCAACAAACTGGTGTTATTGCTGTACAAGGATCTGCAGCTGAGTTACCAAAAACAGTGACACTCATCCACAGACACACGATGATATACACTCACCCTTGCGTCCTTGGGTCCTCCCACTGCGTTGTCCGAGTTGGATGATGAACAAAATACACTCTGCCATTGGTATCTGTCCTCTTCTCTAAAATAAAACACATTTATAAATCTTTACATGTGTCGATCTACCTCTGTGCACTCCCTTTAATATTACATTTGTACATTCCTACAACAAATCATTGTGTTTGAAACTTAAAAGGGAATTCTTATGAACATGTATTTACCCCAGCCGTGAGGCAGTGGTCCCAGTGGGTCAAACTCTTTAGATGTGGCTGCAAATTGGTCCTGCAGCTGGGCCAGAAAGAAAAAAAAAGCCATTAATAGTCTCTCTTTATTAAACAAAATAAAAACCAAAACGTATGTGAAGTGATCTTACCAAAATCCTCATATTTCCTCTATAGGTATTAATCTTTTTATTCTTTTTTTTTACATTTATTATAGTATATAATAAAAAAATAGCCATAGTTCAATGTGTGAAAATAAACAACTGATATAAATGTGCTGTGTGCAGAATTAGAATATCACGAAGATGTTATTTTATTTCAACAATTCCATTAGAAAGTGAAACTTCCATCCATCCATCCATCCATCCATCCATCCATCCATCCATCCATCCATTTTCTTTACACGCTTGTAGAAAGTGAAACTTGTATATTATAATTATGCATTAAACAGAGATGGGTATATTTGAAGTGTTTATTTCTTTTAATTTTAATCATTATAATTGATAACTAATAAAAATCCAAAATTAAGTATCACAGAATATTAGAAAATTGTGAAAAGTCTCTATATTGGAAACACCTGGTGCCATAGCCTCATCAGATAATTGCCCCCAAAACACATTCAAAGGCCTTTCCATTGTCTCTCTGTAGCTCGGACTGCTGAAATACTTAGAAACTTTTCATGACCTGCTGATAAAGAAACAGACCTGTTTTCCTAAACTAGAATAAATCAATCAGTAAATAAATAAAGAGGTTTTTAAACCATAAATCCAAGTCATCCCATCTTCTTTGTAAAAGCAAGAGCACCAAACTGGCCAAACATTGCATGAAATGCGCTCAAATATTTAACAGAGCCTCGACTGAAACTAAACAATCCATGATTTAAGGTTAAAGTAATTAAAGTGACTGTTCTCACCCCATAAATAAACCTCTGGTTAAACTGGTGCATTGCTCCCTGAAGCTGGCTGCGCTGGTTCTGCCACTCCTCATAGTTCCGCACCGACTCCTGAGTGGGCCGTTGCCATGTTGTGGTTCTTGTTATGTGGTCAACATAGTAAACTCTACCCATTGGGTCAACTCTACGCTCCCAGCTGCAAAAGAAAAAAAAAGAGAAGAACAGATGAAAAACATTCCCAGTCGGGTATAAACATAAAAGATAAAAGTCGATTTAAATAAAGCAATTAAAAGGAAATCAGCTCCATCAGTTTTAATCATAGAAGTTGATACCCTGTAGGCAGAGGCTCAGGCCTTTCCCAAGTAGTTCTTTTCTCAATGTGGTCGACATAATACACCCGTCCATTCTGATCCACTCTCTGCTCCCACCTACAGTAAAATATAGGTTATATTAAACAAACTCTCAAAAACCCAAGCTATTAAAATAGCACATGTAAATTTGCAGTGACATAAGGGATGTTAAATGACTCTCAATGTTTAAATACATTTTTTTTTAAAGTTACTTTACATCAGCTCTGTTGAAAAATATTTTAACCCAAAATACTTTTAGCTCAATTAATTAAAACCACAACTGGTGATGCACCAACATAACTGGTCATGTTTTTTTACCCTGGTGGCAGAGGGGCATTGTTAATGGGGTTGATTCTGGGAGCCGTTGTAGCTGGAGCCGCTGTTACAGCACCCCCTGGTTTGGGAACACTCGTTGTTTGTGGGGAAACAGCCGATGCTGCTCGTGCAGCGGAGTCATCTGGCTGGTCTGAACACCCGCTTGCAGATGCCTGAGAGGAGCCGTCAGACGGTGGGGCTTCACTCAGTTCACTGGGAGACGAACTACTGGAAGAGCCTGGAGACGAAGGTGGTAATTAGCAGAGAAGAAATGTGTGACGTATGAAATATCTTTGCAGATCTCTGCTGAGCTGATAGACATCAGACACAGGAAGTCTTAGAATGTCTGTCATTTACTTTATTTTTATTTTTAGCAACTGTTTAATGAAAGTCTTAATGCTTCCCTACTTGGTGAGGCAGCAGGTTTTTGTGGCATAGAAGGAGGAGGTCTGGCAGGCCTGGGAGGACGTGAGGAGGTGGAGCCCCCTGGAGACGGAGAGGGAGAACTTCTACCAGTGACGGCGAGACCGTTGGGTACAATTACCCAGTCATCAGAGTCACTGGATGGAGACGTGTCCCTGCTTGACCTGAAAGTGGAGAAGAAAAAAAAAAAGATTTTAAGGATTTAGTAAAAAATTTGATTATAAAAAAACTATGAGATTTTATTTAAAGAAAAAAAGTTTACAAGACCTGTTGCTTGCGTTGCCATTTGGTTTTGCATTTCCATTTGGAGGAGCTACTGGAACACAAGTAGAAAACCTTGACATGTATGATAAGTTTAGCAAATATCTAATAATATAACCACAAATAAGCTTTTCGAAATGTAAAAAGCACAACAGGCAAATGAATAGCGATAGGTATAAATCATTATATCTTTCTTAGTGATCATATAGAAGTCAACTGAAAAGGTAATGACGTTATAAGAAAATACCAGAATAATATCTTAACACAGCTGCTTCAAGCAGTCTAAGAGAGAAAATATGTCAATGTTAAGTATCTACTACCCTCCAGTGGCTAATACATGTAATGCAAGAATGTAACAACTTATTTGGAGGAAATAATTTAAATAGGTTAAACAGAGCAAACTAAAACAATTTGAATGAATTATGAAATATAATACTGTAGGGGTGGAACGGTTCACAAAATCCATGGTTCGGTTCGGTTCACGGTTTCGTGGTCACAGTTTTCGGTTCGGTATATGTCGATTGTTAGCAATGGTTGCACACTGTTTTTATCCACAACTTTCTTTCCGCAGTCATCGTAGGTCACTCTAAATGCAAAGCGCTCCCATACAGCAGACCTATAAAGTGCTGCTGGCGCATCTTCCTACTCCTGTTCTTTCCCACTCGCCATACCCACACAATTCTCCACAACACCTGATTTTTTTCTGCTACACCTTCTTGTTTACTACTGGTGGTTGGCTTTGGTCGCAGTACCGCCACCTTCTGCTCTGGAGTGTAAACGCTTCGCCTATGAGAAAAAGGAGCAGCGCATGAACCGAACGCAACACACGCGAACCGAACGGTTCTGACGGTTTTCAAAAACCGTTCCATCCCTATAATACTGCATTACATTTCTAGACCAAAAAGAGAAGTGTTTCAGTACTGCATTATTTCTACTGTAAATGTATTTCTGCTTCCCATACCTTGATTCCTCTCTGCCAGAGCAAAGGTTTCTGGGTCAACCTGCAAACCATCCAGACAGACTGAGAGGTCTCCAACGTTATCCTGAGGGTCTCTGTCAGAGGACAGCTGCAGCGTCTGCACCACCTCACACACTGAGATTAGGATCAAATACAGCAAATGTTTCAAATGCAACATGATTGAGAAACACATTTCAGAAAAGGAATGAAAGTGGAGAGAAAAAACAATGTTCCTCCACTTTTAAAAAAGAACAAAAGGTGAGTAACTTTACCCAACATCAACAAAAACATTGACAGTGAGCGCAGTCAGTGGATGAACTCCAACAAAACAAGACAATCAGTTTCTACAGAACTATTGAAAACAGAACCAAAGTTTAAACTGAACTTTGGTTAAAAAGTGCCAAAAATATGACATTACTGGCTGGCTCTTTTAAAGCAAACATTTCATGAATAAAATCTGGTGTTTATAGATAGAAATTATTTAAAGTTTAATTCATCACAAAAAAAAACTAGACACCCCATGGGAGGTTGTGCTCCTTTATTATTTATTCTCCTATGGAAAAAACAATCAGATGGTATTAGGTTAGCTTATACCATTTGAGCTCTTTAATCAACAAGTGAAAAAAGAAAGCAACAAATTGAATCAAAACAGCTGTTCAAACAAACGATTTTAATGATTTTATAATCTCTAACATATTATGGTTATTATGAGAGGTGAAAATTTGCTCTCAATTTTTTTTAAATATATTTTTTAAATGAAGGTTACATGGACGAAATATTTAAATGTATACTCACATTTAAGGTCATTGGCTTTGAGGATAGAGCTGATGTCTAGAGTAGCCATGCCTAACAGAAGATCTGCCTTCAGTGTCTGATGACTCCAAACACGAAAGATTAGTTTGCTGACTGGAGTCACAATTCTGCAGGAAGGAGACAGAATAAAATATATATATCAGTGAGATTTTGGACTGAGGAAGGCAATGATTTTACAGGTCTGTGGCATACACTTTCAATCTTGTGTTTTCTATGGGTTGTCAGGAAAATCAAAACATTTTTTTTTTTATTAAAATCTATTGTGTAGAGTATGTTTTTAACACATTCTCTAGATTTAGCTGTTCCTGTAGTTTTTTTTGGTCCAATGATTATATGTGCAAGTAATAAAATTCCATATATTTAAAGTATCTGAATACATCTTGCTTTGAAGTTATAAACTAATTTTGTGATTTAAAGGAAAGCAATATGTGTGACTTGAGTTGGCCCATAATGTAATGCTTTTAGTGTTTTCATAAACAAGCAACTAGATATCAATAGGAATCCTAAAGTTGGGGTCATGATACTACCTATAGTACACAGTTAATGTCTGCAAGATCAAGCTTGATAAAGTACAAAGGCAACATTTTAAAATACAACCATTAGTTTAAATTTCATTGAAAATGAAGAGCTCTTTTTTTACTCATTACTTTTAGAAACATGCTAAAGGCACCTTATGGGCATCTAAGAGAGATGAGTATTGGAAAACTGTATGTTTGCATTATGACAGCTTGACTGAAACCCAAACATAACTTTATGATTCCACAACTTCAGTCATAACAAGTTTACACAATGATACACATAACTATGTGTATAAAGCCTGTATTATGAACATTAAATGTACATTTATGTTCATAGTTTAAATTGCTTCAATGCATTGACTTAAGTATTTTTGACTACATCAAACAAAAATACTGACAGGATGTCTTAAGAAATCCTTTTTCATATCCTGCATTTCAGGTGGAGACCAACTAACTTCTCCTTTTAGAGACAAATAACATCAGTACTCACACAGTGAGGGCCTGCTTCCATTTGGGACTGTGGGTGTTGTTGCATTTCTCTGTCCTCTTTGATTGGCCATCCACAGCTACCTCAACGTAAGGACTGGGACCAAACCAGTTCTTTTTGTTTTCCTTTAGCTTGGCTGAGAGCACTGGAAGGACAATGACAAGCATGAGCGGCAGTGACAATAAAAGAACATTTCTGCTGATCAGACTGATTCAGTTGTATTTGGAAAAGATATTCAGACTTCACTGCACTATTCTTATCTTTTCTTTATTTCATTTTATTCTAAATAAAATCTTCATGTGGCTAATCTTTATATAAATAATCACTTTGCCTCACGAACATTTGCCAGATTTATAAGCAATCGGTACTGTCAGAATAATTAAATTACTGACTATTAGAAAGACTGATCACAGTATGGTCTGTATGTATGCTTTAGCTGCTGTGTGTGTATTAGCAAGATCTTTTTTTAAGCTTATTAGTGGAAATAAAAGACACGTCCAACAGGTTTTCCAGTCATGTGACAGTATTACAGAAGTCTAATGTGGAAACATCCTTGTTTATTTTAAAAGCAAGAGGAAAAACTCAAATATCAATAAATGAAAACATTTATAGAACCAAATTTCTGCCGTTTTGGTTATTTATTGTAATAATCCTGTTAAATTTCAAAGAATCATTGGTTTCTACCGGTATAATTAGGCCCAAAGACCTTTACCTCTTATTAGATTGCTGATTGTTTTATGATCGCTTTCCAACCCAGCAACCACCAGCTGAGAATGTGAATTGCTTGACTTCTACATCTGAAAGCCATGAAATATCAGGAACTAAAATGTTCATAATAATTTTAGAATCCATGCTACATTAAGCACTTAGTAAATTCAGAGGTAGTTAATAAAGGCACTGTGACTAATGTAGAATATGGACTTCTAATGTTAGATGATTTATTTTTATTTACTAAGAAACTGTTTCATTCAGGCTTTACAAAGAATTATTTTAACGTTTCATTTAACCGTTTTATATCATCACTATAGGACCGACTTTTATGTTATGGAAGTAAATCGTTACCATATTTAAAATGAAAAAGCATTTTCACAAATGCTTTTTCATTTTAAGAATTGATTACTAATTTCATTTATGAGTCAAATAATGCAGCCACATTCTTAAAATGAAAAAGCATTTCTGGAAATGCTTTTTCATTTTCAAATTTTATATTTCAAATTGAATTTTGGTATGTATTTGCTGGGGGACATTTTGAAAAATAAATCTCAAATTTCTTTTGCTTTTTAATTTTAATTAAGTAAAAGGATGAGCAGTGTTGAAGAAGAAATGAAAATGCAAATAGGATGACTGATTACCAATTTCATTTATGAGTCAAACAATGCAGCCACATTCTTAAAATGAAAAAGCATTTCTGGAAATGCTTTTTCATTTTAAATATGGTAACGATTTGTTTCCATATTATGTAACCCTGTAAATAAAATGAAAATAAAGTACACATCTATAGATGAAACCAGATACTTGCCATAGCTTTATATAAAAAAAATAGCTGTATTGTAACAAATGTAATTATTTTAATGACAGTATATTGAGCCATAGATATTTTCTTTTCCATCTTCCTGACAAAAAAAGGTGGAGTTTATAGGCATCTTTTGACCTCTCCTCACAAATTTCCATTAGGACTAAGATCAGGGCTTTGTGATGGCCACTCCATAACAGTGACTTTGTTGTCCTTTATTGAACAAAGTGCACCTGTCCCTGCTGTAAAACAGCCACTCAGAATGATGCTGCCACCACTGTGCGTCTCTGAATGTTGTTTAACTGTAGATAACATCTAGCTTCAACCAGCATCTTCATGAAGTCTGTGTCTTTTATTCTTGGGTGCTTTTGTCTGGACGCTCACACTAGAGTAAGCCCAGTTCAGTCCGTATCAGTGACCAACCTGTTTCTCTCCTGGGTCATTGGAGGCTGCTGTGTTCCATGTATAAAATCAGAACATCTTAGTAGTTAAAGGTGTGTCCTGCTGAATCAGCACTGCTGACTCTTCTGTGCTGTGCCATGTTTGGTTAGTTGTTTGATCTGGTGTTTTTTTTTTTTTTTTTTTTTTGTTGGGTTTGAAGTTTACCAGCAGAGATGGGAAGTACCGGTAACAAAGTACAAATACTTTGTTACTGTACTCAAGTAGATTTTTCTGATATTTTTACTTTACTTTACTACTTATTTTTATGGCGACTTTTTACTTCTACTCCTTACATTTTTACACAAATACCTGTACTTTCTACTCCTTACATTTTAAAAAATTGGCTCGTTACTTTAGTTTTGAATCATTTCAATGGAGTTACCGTTATTATTTTTCACGTCATCAATACCAAATTCAATCTAATTGGATGGGAATCTACGTTGCATTTGATGCACCACTACAAGATGAATCCACAGATTCAGCGGTATTCATTCGCGGCAAATCATTGCAGCTTGGTGGCGGTGGCGTTAGCATAGCATTATGGAAGACGAGATGATTGAAAATGAACACAACTGAGATCTAGTCCTATTGGCAGACATCCATTTAAAATGCAGGCAACGGCATGAAAAAAGTGGTTTCTACTTTTACTTTTATACTTTAAGTAAATTTACAAGCCTGTACTTTGTTACTTTTACTTGAGTAAAGAAGTTTAATCAGTACTTCCACTTTTACCAGAGTATTTTTTAACACAAGTATCTGTACTTTTACTCAAGTACGAAAAGTAAGTACTTTTGCCATCTCAGTTTACCAGTATGTTGTGTTTTAAGAAAATTCTTCTCCTGACACAGGAGGTCCCTGAGGAAAAGACATCTATTATCTCCTTTATGTTAGATGCAGTGCTGTATTTTCTGCTAGTTTGGGTGACCACATATTTAGAGTGATTTCCTGGTGTCTTAAGTGTTCTTCTTGTTTCTCCTCTGTAACGGAGGGTTATTCACCCAATAACTCAGGGTTCTGATAACAGAAATCTGTGTTCCAGTGGGTGATGTGAATTAAAACGGTTTGAAAGAAGTCCAGTGGGAAAAAGCTGTATTTTTTTTCTTACGGAAGACAGCACTTCCCATGAGAACCGGGCATTGTGTGGTAAAATCCTGCTCTCCCAGTTGCCTGCAGGTGAATTAACAACTTTTCTGTTTGCAGTTGCTGTGTGTAGATAAACAGCGAGGTTATGAACCTACAATGTCATATGATGATGTTGAAAATAAGAAACATTTAACTTTGGTTTTGGACCGTACTACTGCACTCCCACCCAACCACCTGACTCGTCAGTGACTGATGTGCTGACAAGTTTAGAGCCTTAAAACATATAAAATTAATTTCACAGTTAACACACGTAACACAGTTCATAATAAAGACAGATTGATGCATCTTTCTCTTTCCAGTTTTTAGAGAAAGCCTGTTATTTTTCCTTTCGTAGATATCAGGTGAATCCCTTTTCAGGGCCTGATGGTCATGATGGTTGTGTTGCTTGATGCTGTGCATCTACCTTTGTCTACTACAAAACTCGCAATGTTGTGGTTTTGGCTGAGATAGGGTCCTGCCTTGCTTTACTGTAGCGTGATCTTAAAAGAGGGCATTTTCATTCTAGAATGCCAGCAGTAACTTTAATCCTGATTTCTTTCCCTTCTGCCTCTGCCATGTTGCTGTTTCTAGAGTTTAATTCAGTGGCAGTAATGATGAGTTCTGTTGCTGGATGTTGCATAGCGGTTATGGCAAAGTTCAGACCTTTGGAGCTTTATGTTTGGCTAAAGCTTTACATTTTAAAACACCATCAGAGTGGTAGTTTTTCCATCTGCAGTTGGGGTTACGTTATAAATTGGAGTGAGTTACACTTTCATAATCACTTTCATAACGTGAAGAAAAAAATAGTATTTAAGACAAAACTGTAAGTAAAATCTACTTTCAACTTTATCTGTAGTTCTTAAGTTTGTTCTAGCAATAACTCACCTGTGACTTGTAATTGTGCCTTCATGGTTCATCCATAACACTTGATTCTATGTTGCTTTGAACCTGGAGACAAACAAAATACATGAAGGGAATGACAAAATGGCACGCAATCACAGGACGTTAAGAGATGCTGCTCTTATTCAAATGGAGGGCTTTTTTTTGTTAGTTTGCACTCGTTTATAAAACTGGAAGTTTTTCCTGTTTTCCCTATCCCAATTGAGCTTAGTGATTATTGTTGTAATCCATATTGATATAGATTTTTTTCTGATTATTTAATCAAAATGTCTCCCGGTTCCATTGTTAATTGGTCTTTAGGATTCCAAGCTTATCAATCTTTGACAAGATGATTTGCATAAGTATACACTGAAAAGTAACAAAGTACATGTACTTGATTACTGTACTTAAGTAAGGTGCTGCACTGTGGAACAATGGTTATCACTGTTGCCTGGCAGCAAGAGGGTCCTGGATTTGAGTCCACCCGGGGTCTTTCTTGAAGGTTCTCTGGCTTCCTCCCACAATAGGTTTCTCTAAATTCTCCTTATATACTTTTGACTCCATTACATTTCTAAGAAGCATTACTCATTCCTTTTGTCTCAGATTAGGTTAGTAATCCATTGGCTGCTGTTTTCCTTTCTTGAAAAACAATTAGCAACAGACACATTCCTTTAACACAAGGACACAATCAGCAACATAATGTTTCTCACAAAGTTAAGAGTTCATCCTTAAGAACAGGCATCCTGGATGTTTTATTTATCTGTTTGTCAACACACCTGGGTCAAATGGTAATTCATTAGCAGACATATGCAGAACTTTGACATGCTGAGTAGGTAATAACTACCTCAAAGGGAGATGAAACAAAACATGTAACATACCAGCCACAGAGGGCTGAATTTGAGATTTGAATGAAATTCCACAAATGTGAAAAAACGCAGCGCATATATTATTTGTGGTTTACAAATTTTATTAAAGGCGTGAGTTGATGTCATGTGGACAAATTGTTCAGTAGGATGAGTTCTCAAAGCAGAGCTGCAGTATTCATTTTTTGTTGCATTTTTAAGCTGAAGTTCACAGACAGTGTAGAATTTGTAGCAGTTGGTTCTATGCGTCAATACATTAAGTGGTTTATTAAAGTTAGAAGGTTCTTTAAAATCAATCTGAATATTATACAGCACAGACACATATGTATATTACATATTTGTTTTGCCTTTGAATACTTAAGCCATTTCAAAAGTGAGAACTTCAATACATGTTTGACAGAGTAACTTTTACTTGTAGTTGAGTAGGATTTGCCCATGAGTATCAATACTTTTACTCAAGTACTACTGTTGAGTACCTTCTCCACCGATTTTCATTAAGTGAAAATAGTTGCCAAAAAAAACAATATTGTATATTGCGATTATATCTAGGACTATTCATTGTCCGGCTAAACTTGTCATAGAAACAGGCCTTGCCTCTGTTTGTTTATAACCTGGTTTGTTACGGCTCAGGCTAATACAAACAGACAAAGACCATTTTCCTAACTATAGCTAGAATAGCAATAAATATTAATAAAAAATAAGCTTTATTTGAGTAAATAAATTGGAATTTAATAATGCTGATATCTCAATATAGCATTTATGTTATCTTAAGACTACATTTCAAAAAATGTAAGTTAAACATTTCCATTGCTTTGGCTGTCTGTTAGATTTAACCCAGGATATTTTCAACCGTGCAGAAAGAGGCTCAGAACTAGTTCCCCCTAAATCCATCTAAAATACCCAAGCTAAAAATAGATTTTTAAATAACTTCAGTCAAAATAGTCCGATTTTCAGTGCATCTAAGCAGGTGACTTGGTTTAATCTCGTCTATTTCTAGATCCCTTCTAGTCTCTTCCATAACAGAAAATCCCATCATCCAATCACTAATACGGTCTGACACCAACTACCATCACTGATATCGCTTTAATTACCCTACAGTCAATCTGATTTTAAGAAAAACTGATACATATATTGTTATTCCACATAACGTGGTTTTATGGGATAACAAACAATAAAAGCTTAACAGAAAATATCTGCCTACGTGTCTCGATAGCTAATTTCTGTAGAGCTAGCCAACTATCACATAGCAACATGAGATTCTCGTGGGTAGGTATAGTACTACGATACAGTTTAGATGAAATAATTGGGTGTTTTGGTCTTCTTGTTTCATAGAGTTCACGCAACAACTTTGCTCACGGGGCCCAGGCAAGGATGAGCTAGCCGTATCGCGTTACCTTAGAAATGCTACCAGCATCCGGGCCTTAGCTACTTCGATTTTTCAATAAACAGCGTTCAGACAAAACCAGACTGAATACCATTACCTGTCAACTACAGATGGTAATGCGACGTAGGGGGCTAAAGTATCCTAGGGTTGACCAGCCGATGTGCTATCCTCTTCTTTTAGGATTCTTCGCGGGCGGATGTTTAACTAAGTTAAATGAGCACTACCGCCACCTGCTGTTCAAATGAGATATCGAGTGAGGGGACTGTTCAGCAACTCCCTGAATGAAATCTGAACATCATCCTGGCCTTTATGGTTGAGCATCCAGTTATGCTGGGATTGAAAGCTACTTGAAAACTACTGTTTGTATTTTGTGTCTGATATATAACATCAGAGGTATTTTACTTTTTTTTTTATATATAGGTTTTATCAGAAGTAATATCAGGGCTCGATGTTAACCATTGCCCTATCGCCCGGGGCAAGTATTTTTTTATTAATTTCATATTAGTTTTATTAATTTCATTGCATTTGCCCGCCGAGCAAGTGCAGTGATCGCAAAAAAAATATTTATCACTCATAATCACTTTAAAATCACCGACATTAGCTGAAAACGACCCAGCCGGCCCCATTTTCGTTGTTTTGTACACATTCTCGCGTGATTTGGAAAAGACGCCTGATTTGAAAAAGCCGCGAGAATTTCCGCCAGATGGCGTAATTTACTTGTGATTTTTGTCAATCTAGCGGTAATTTTGATGTAGTTACCAAAATGATAAACACGCTAGAAAGCGCTATCATATGACAGTCTTCTGTACAGTGGTCATACATTAAAAAAATGTTTATAATTTTTTTCTCTCTCAGACAATGGAGAGGTGCATTTAAATGTTATAGAGCTAAACATGTTAAATTGGTGACCTGTTATGTTATTATTATTGTCTTGTTGCTGCATTTATTTTGTCAGGGAAAACTAATCCTGAGTCAGTTAAAAGTCAGGGAATTCTGAAATTATGTAAGACTGTGGAAACCCTGTGGAAAATAACTGTATAATGATTCTCTAGAAAAGTCACATTATATTAATAGTTTTATCTTGTATAAACATACTGTGACTCCAAAATAAGTTATTCATTTGTGACATTGACTTCTATCTTCTGATTTATCTTAAGTTTTTAACCTGTCAAGTTTTTTTTTTTAGATTTTTAACATTACAATTTGTATTTTTCCCAAGCACACAACAGTTTAAAGCAAAGGTTAGTTTGAAAAGAATGTGCAAGAAGGATTGAAAGGCATGTTAACACGATAATGTAGGCTTGAGTTCATTATCTGAGGCATGCATATACACACCAGGAACCTGTAAAATTAAATAATACTGAATTACAAAAAACATTTAAAAAACAAACATGTTTCATTGATATATATATATATATATATATATATATATATATATATATATATATATATATATATATATATATATATATATATATATATATATATATATATATATATATATATATGAATATTAGGAACTTTATTTATCAAACATTATACTGGGCAAGTAAAAATTGTTTCTGGGCAAATGAAATGTGACAGTCACTTGCCTGAAGGGCAGTGGTAAAAATCCTTAACGTCAACCCCTGAATATAGAAAAAATATTTATTCAGTCTGTGCCACCTGTTTTAAATATTCTGGTTAATTGTAAAACATTAATAGTTGTTTATTTTGTACAGAATGTTAAAAATGGTTTGTTAGAATAATTATTATTGAAGATGATGTGGCAGACTGGAGATGTATAAAATGCCTTTTTAACTGTTAATTGGGGCCACTTCCTGAGAGGTAAGCCCAGAGGTGAACAGCTGCCTTCTGTGAACTCTAAACAATTTCTCTGATTTTAGTAAGATTACTTTTTTTTTTATCAGAATCTTAAAACTCTTTAAATAATACATCTTATGATGTATTATTTAAAGAGTTTGTACCAAGCTATCTCTTTCTAGGGAAGAAAACATAAACAGAGTCCATCTTTAACAGGTAAATAGTCTTTACTAATAGAATCAGAATCAGAAATACTTTAATAATCCCAGAGGGAAATTACTTTTGTTACACGCTCTAGTTACAGTTTTACATGATATATACACACATCCAACTATACAATATAATAAAGATAAAAAATAAGAATAAAAAGAGCTAAAATATATATACACATATAGCTCTTCTATATATATATATCTGTAGGCTACGTATATCTATGTATATGTAAAACCTAAATCCAAATAGAGTGAAAAGTCCAATTAAAGTGAATAAATCCAAGTAAAGTGAGCATTGTGTCTAGTCTAAGGACCCCCAAAACACTCTACATCATATTCAGGCATTGTGGTTGTGGTTTGCCACATGGCTGTCTTGGTGCAGACTTAGGTTTTCATACACCACCACCACTCAGCCCTCTGACCATCAGCAGCAGACAAGGTGGCTAAAGTGTCTTGCCCAAGAACACAATGACAGAGAGAGTTGGCTCAAACTGCCAACCCAATGGTTAAAAAGAAATACCACTTCTTCCTTAGTCACCGTTGCCACAGAAGCTTTCTATTATCAATAAATCTTAATATATGTTGGGAAATAATTGATACTTTACATGATTTACAACATTTTGGTTAGGCCTCATTGCCAGGTGAATAATGGATATTCTTTCATAAAAGCATATAAATCAGAGCAGCATACATTGGGTTAATGCACATACATAATGCAGAAAGCTTTACTATTTAAATTTTAAGCCATCGGTTCAGCATTTAAATTACAAAAATGGTAAGCATGCAATAAAAAATTTTTATTTTAAGCATTCTTTTCCACAAAGAAAATTCAATACCTCTAACTCTAACTACACCACAAAGCATGTGACACTACATTCTAGGCCCCAAAAGACAAAGATAAAAACAATGTAATGTGTGCAAGGGTTTAAAACAAGATTAAACAATGGAACATATATTCTAGGCCACTCCATTGAAGTCACATGCTATGGAAAGAGTAAAAATCGGAGCAAGAAGAAACTGCCTAGATCGGTGCATGCAGTTGAAGAGGGGAAGAGAGGGGGCAAAATACACAACGTTATTGATAAAGGCTCCTAAGGTCTGCACCAACCTCATTTAAAACATGCATCAATGGTGCCTGGATGTCAGATGTCATTGTTTTTGATTTAAGGAGCACTGCATACCATATTGAGAGGAGAAAGACTCTTCTGAACAGAATGAGGACTATGGATGCACTTTGACCAGAAGGTTTAGGAAAAAAAATGCTGTATGTACAAAGAATACATCAACCATAAATATGTTAGCTACAATAAAGCAGGATATCATATCTCTTATCTGTAGCTTAAGGTAAATTCAAAGACAAAGGCTTTCCAGACCTAAAATGAAATAGGGGAAATAGTTAATATTGTCTCTCTCTCTCTTGCTTAAGCATTACCCTACCATTGCCTCTCTCTCTCTTAATAAATGTAACATCTTTTTAAGGATTTCGTTTTCTAGCACAGGCTGGTTATTTTAATTCTTTTGGACTCAAACCATACAGGTCAGCTAATCTCATAAAATATTCAGTCAGTTTCTCATCTTGTATCTCGAAGTATTTCAGCATACCAGGGTGCTACACTGAAAATTGTCAGCGCTGTGCTGAAATCAGGCCGACCCTCTTATTTTTCTCTGATCTTGGTTTCCCTCTACCAGGGTTCTGTCCAATCCATTTCAGCTAATGGCTTGGTTAGACTAAAAGTTGTCAAAATGAGGCTTCATTTTGACCGCTATGCTATAGGCGACAGTGGCGTCGGGTGCAGGAGTTTGCCCAGCAATCAGAGGGTTGTCGGTTTGAGCTCCAGTCTCAGTATTTCAAAGGTTAATTGTGTTTGCGCAGTTTACAGATCAGGGCCTGACATAGGCACCGACCAGTATCAGGCCTTATAGAGTTAATAACAAGAACCAGTAGGACAACTCTAGCTTCAGCCTTGCAAGAAGAGGATAAAATATGATTAGGAAGGAGTCAGATGTCATTAAAGTACTAAGTATATAGGGACACAGTCAAAACCAGTCTACACTGTCTGGTTTACAACCCTTGCTAAAAGAATTGAAGAGCAGAAACAGATGCATCCCAGAATCAATCAGGTCCAACAGTAGCGAACTTCATAGTTCTAGAGTTCAAACTTCATTTAAGGAGAACATTAAATAGAGGATGTATCTGTTTATACAACACACATGGTGTTATTGTTGTTTTCCAGAGAATGGATTTAGGAGACCAGACCAGATATGTTAATTGTTAAATTTAAGTTTGTCATTACTCAGAAATCCCTGCCCTAATATTTATTTAAGAAACATCATACTGTAAAATATTGTTTGCATTAGTACAGATAATGTGGAAAATATATTTTGTACACTGTAAAAAATATAAGGATGGCACTAAATTGGAAGATGTGGCAGGAAGGAGGGTATGTAAGGTCTGTTTTGAACATAAAAACTCAAGGGAACATAAAAAGCTGTTTTGTAAAATACGGAAAATGGAGGAATATACCTTTAGGATTTTAGTTATCTTTTGTTCTGTGCTATTATTTATTCATTTTTTATTTTTTTATTTATTTATGTAAAGTCAACCAATCGACGTTGTTCATCTTATATACTCCGATACAGTAGGTGTCGTTGTGCACTGTCAAGTCGTGGCTGCAGTGTGTAATTAAAGACAAAGAAGAAGAAAATCTACTGGGTCTCGTGACAGGCTAGTTGTTGTCGTTTCCATCAGCTGACGTTATTTTTCTTGCAGAAAATTATCGTTCAATGAGTTAGCTTTTGCTAAACTAACCCCAGCTTCTACATAAGCGATATGTTGTCCCGTCTTCTGAAGGAGCACCAAGCGAAGCAAAATGAGCGGAAGGAGCTACAGGGTGAGGAGGCTGGATGGAAGGGAAAGGATGTTAGCACAGGCTAAAAACAAGGATTTTAAGTTAGCACTCATCCGTGGTTCTTATAAATTGTTCCTTTTTGCACAGAGAAACGCAGACGTGAAGCGATCGCTGCTGCCACTTGTCTAACTGAAGCCCTGGTAGATCATCTGAACGTTGGGTAGGAAAAAAAAGCCCTTTCTAGTGTGTGTTAGTACAAATTGTTTAGCTATATTTAATGAGTAATATAATAATTGCAATGGACTAATTAATTAAACTAATTCATATTTTATTTGACGCTGTTTTTTCAAAATAAGTTTGATTTTGAAATGTTCGAATTAAATGTTTTTTTCCCCCCTAAAATCAGTATGAATTTATCTGGTGACAGTAATGCAACCTGCTGCAAAAAAAACGCATAAGTATTTTTTTTAGGTATTGATTGAAAATGAAAAGCTATGTGTATGTATGTGTATATATATGTATTTATATATATATATATATATATATATATATATATGTATATGTGTGTGTATATATGTGTGTGTCTATTAATGCTGCAACTGAGGATTATTTTGCAAATCGAATGATTAATAATCGAGTGGCCAAAGGTTCCTTAAAGAAGAATTTTTACAAAATTAAACCAGGCGAAACTACGTAAAACTTTTCCACTGAATCTTTTTTATCTTAAATGCAAAATGTTAGGTACATATGTGTATAAATATTCATATTTGTGTGTATTTGTGTCTGTTTTAAATGAGTTATTGTAGTTATATATACTTAGATTTATTATTACTATTACTTATATTGTTTGCTAGTACAGTAGTGGACGACTACATGTCTAGATGTTATTTGCATCCCTCTGGGTATAATTTATGTGTCAGTAGAGCTTTAACCAGATTGAACTGGATCTCTGACCACCACCACTGAGTCATTGAATTTAAATAATCTATTCCTGTTTAAGAAATAGATTAAGATAAAGATATAGTTTAAATTAAAATAAAATTGTTGAAAGTTTGAAAAAAGTGAAGAAAAAAAAAAAGCTTATAGAATTAGGGCAGAATTTAAAGTCCATCATGTCATGGTTCTTTTGAGGGAGATTGTGGCTTTTAGTCTTTATTTTGGGAGCTCTGGGACTTGAGTAGTCAAATATTTTGCACTGAGGCGCTCTCATTTTCCCTTACATGACTCAGTGGATATCTAATATGTAATAACAATGCTAGAAGTCTAACTTTTTCCCCCTACTCTGTTTCAGGGTTGCTCAAGCATACGTAAACCAACGCAAACTGGACCATGAGGTTAAGACCCTCCAAGTGCAGGCCAGCCAGTTCTCTAAGCAAACTGCTCAGTGGATCAGCATGGTGGAGGGGTTCAATCAGGCCTTAAAGGTGAACTTTACTGCACATCCAATTGGGTTTGGACCAGAAGAATATTTAATTCTTTTTTTTTTTTTTTAATCTGCAGTCAGTACATCAGATAAATCAGCGGTTGTCCAACTTTTTCTATTATGTACCCTCTTAGTGGATGGACGTTTTTTAAGTACCCCTTTGTTGACAGACATGTTGAAATAGCACAGTTTGTTGTGATGTCATAACAGCAAAACAAACTTACATATTGGAAATTGATGATTGAATGAATAATACAGTCTAATTATGATTTCCAGTTTTTTAATCTTAATTTGAATATCATTGTTCTCTGAAGTTGAAAAAATGAGAAGAAACCAGATAAAATTGAATTAAAATGAAAATTTGTATATTTGGACCGCTGACAGTTTGTATTTTGATAGACCTTTCTCATAAAAATACAAAATACCTGTACTTATACTAGTTTCTCTGCTTTTTTTTTTTAGAATCAAAGTTGCTCTAATTTTTTTTAAATATTGCCAAAGTTTTTTCTGTATACCACCAATGGTAGTTGATTGAATTTATTATTAAGATAAACACTGTTTTATAGATCTAACACTGAGCACTCTCCAAGCTCAAAATATACACCATCCTGGCCTGGTTAGTTAGGGTGAGCAAGGCGACTGGAAATGTTGACCATTTATCTAATTTCAGACAAATTAATGCAAGTCTGGAAGAAAATCTCCATTAACTTTTTTCAAAAGGGAATAACGTGTATTCTAGATACATCTCAAATAAAGGTGGAGCATTTCCACATCAAAGCTGTATAAGGTGCACACCGGGACACAATTTGCCTTGAGAGTTAATGTGGTTTTGATGCAGGGATTTTAGGTTGCTCTAGATGCTAAAATTGGTTAGAAGTTGGAAAAGGTTACAAACCTGAAGCATGTCTTGCGTATCCTCTCTCTCACATAGGAAATTGGAGATGTTGAAAACTGGGCCCGCAGCATCGAGATGGACATGAGAACAATCGCCACAGCCCTGGAGTATGTACACAAAGGCCACCTTCAGTCTACCTGCTCGTAAACATCACACTGCGGTTCTACAGTACAATTACTACTGAAAAATATGGACAGATATAATTTCTCTGTTGTTTCTGATTATCTGATTCAGAAAGGAGTTGCTGGTGATGTTACACCTTGTAAACTATTCTTTAAAGCATCTCTTTAAAACAATTAATCTACATATTTGGGTTTTTCACCTAACCTGTCCTGTATTCACATCTACAGACAGAGATGACTGTATTGTTTCAATAGTTACCTGTGTAGGTTTTTTAAAATGAAATGTGACCAGATGATCTTTTTTGTATCCAATTATAAATAACAATAAAATAATGACAGTGGAAATTGTGTTTTTGTGCCTATTTATGTTTCCTTCTCACACACACAATCACTAAAGAGGATGTGAGAATAAAGTCAACTGAAGAGTTGGGCGATACTGCAGGTTTTAGTCTGCTTGATATCTTTAATAAAGCTTGTTTGTTTCTTTAAGCTGTTTGACAGAAAAAAAACTCAAACTACAACTGGACTATTAGTGGAATGTGTGACGTAGAAGTTATGTCACAGTGCAACTGAGTGCAGTGTAAACCCACAGAATTACAACACTATTTGGTAACTAATTAAAGCTTAATCTAGCAAACAAGTACAAGCCTTTATTCTTTTGCCTATTTTCTTAGTTTACAGTTCTGAACCTTTTGTCATGAAATAAGTAGCAAATGCAGCTTTTCTGTGACTGAGGTTGCAGCAGTGAAACTAATATGAGAATTAATTAATTTCTTAGTTTTATATATATATTTTCTAATATATATGGTTTCACCCGATCCTTGTGCTTTACATAAAAAGATGACAATTTTAAAATGAGTAAAATTTTCATTGCAGATATTGTAATTTTAAAACTTTCTATTATAAAAAAATAACAGATTATTTAAAAAAAAGTCTCCAAAACTCAGTTATTAGTATATTATCCAACAAATTATTTGACTCTAAAGAATATATGCTTTTTATAGTGATGTGTTCTGTTTCCCAGCTAAAAAAAAAAAGACTCAATACAAGAAGGTACATAAAATGCAATACAATGTACATAATAATGACACAGAGACCAACCAGTATCTGACATCACTTATAGACCCAATAACCAGCAAATGACTAGTATAAGTTTAAACCTTAGTAATTACAGAATGCCAATTCTGGCAGAACCATATGGGAATACTGAACCCACAGACATAAAACTTGGTCTAGTTTAGATTAGGGCTGAATGATTTTGGCTAAAATCGAAATTGTGAATATTATCAACAAATATTACGATTTTATTGCCATTTAGTTTCGCATGTAGATGTTACAGTAAATTTGTAACATGCCAGTGTTGCAGGACTTTACAGTAACCTTTGTATGAAAAGTTCATACTTGTACTATCATGCAAGGATTTACATGCTAGCTGTGACTCTCTCTTCCCTTCTGTGTATTATTGACACTTAAAGGGCTGAAGTTAGAAATTTAGGGTCTATTCCTGTTAAATGTAATGTGAATAAAATTGAGGACCGCTGCAATTTGAAAATAGCTTTTTTTTTTTTTCTAAGTGGTGCTTATATTACAGTTGCTATTACTTGCCAAGCCCCTTGATCATTTTCTTAGTCTATTTGTAGTAATAAAAATAATAGAATTATAGTTTTGGAAAAAAGATCTGATCAAAATGAACAAATTTGACTTTGAATGGGTGGCTATTTGATTTGCATTCAACTTGAAATATGCTAAGGAGGATGGACCTCCATGCTGCATCAACTCTAACTACAGATTGCTCTGGTGCGAGTCGACAGAATGGCAAAGACTCCTGGATAGATGTGGAAATGTCTTCAGAAAAATACTGAGTGAAAGGCCGGTTGCTTTTCAATTTAATCCTTTTTTAGGGATACCTCATCATACAAGACAGTAACTTTATAATTTAAGTTTCTTATTTTGTCAGTAAATTCCAGCTTTGGACTAAACCTTTAGATCTTATGGAGAAAGCTGAAGATAGGGAGCAATTTATTTTCACAATGAGTCCAAGAATGTATCCGATCAACCAGAGAACGCCTTCACCAGAAGAAAACAAAAGCCTTTGAAAGGGCCTACTTGAGCCCCAGAGCAAATCTGGGAGCTCATCTGAAGAAGGCGGTGATCATTAGCTGTCCGTACAATCATCACATAGTATGTAGCTAAAAACACTCACCGGTGTTTTTGATTAAAAACAGGCATTTTAAAATGTTTTAGTTCAGGGGTGTGCACAGTTCTGTATACAGGTTATTATAAGTTTTATATTTATTTTTTATTTGCCTTTTAGCTGGATTTTTCCAGACACTTGTGATTTTAAAATTGTAAAGAAAGATTCAGAAGTTGTTTTTTTTTCATTTTCTATTTTTATTAAACAAAAAAGTGTTTTTGAGATCCAGGTATCTACACATTTGACTATTTACAGAGATGTTGATCCTAATGACATACAACCATTCACACACATACTCACACCAGAATATATAGAGAGCTCAACATGAGAGTATCCAGAGAGAATCCATGCATGTACAGGGAGAACATGCAAACCCCATGCAGAAAGACCCCCAGAGCCAGGAATCAAACCCAGATCGAATGCCATTTTCTTGCTGCAAGGCAGCATGCTACCCACTGGCCCACTGTGCAGTCCACACAGAAGTTTGGTTAGTGTTTTTTTTAATTTTTTTTTTATAACATTTGATGCAGTCATAATCAATTAAGCCCAATATCTACAGCTCTAAAAATTGTTCTAAAAGAAGTGCTCTGATACCCAATTGCCTACGCAGAAAATTCTTCGAGGGTTTAGTGTTCAAGCCTTGTTCCCTTCACATATTCCCTTTAAAACAATTGCAAAATAGTTAGGGATTGAGGATTACTAATAGTGAACATGTCTTGAGGGATAAGCCTCAGGGATAAAGCTTCTTTTGAGCAGCCCCTGTGAGCTGAAGCAGAAGAATAACCAGAAAGGGAAAAGGAAGGAGACTAACTGCGAGCATCCAGTGTTTCCCGCTCAGAAAATAAGGTAGGAATATACTGACTTTATTCACTCCCTTCTGAATTAATTTAGTAAATAAATAAAACTTTCTCCTTTAAATAGGCATGCTGTGAACTGAGGTTACCAAAAGTGGATGTCTTAAACTGTTTTATTTTTGCATAGGATAGATATTTATATGTTCTTAAAAATCTTCTAAATACTTTACAGTAAAACATAACTTATACGGGAAATAAAGGCTGTGTGTAAAAATATGCCAAGATATATTGTTGTTATAAAATGTGAACATTAACATTTCTTATTACCTGAAGCTCAAATATTCACTTGAATAATTTAGAGTATTTGAGGAATAAGCCTTTTTTTTGTGTATGTATACATTTGTGTACCTGTTTGTTTTCAAGTTTGCATTGTCATTACAAAGACGTTTTCTGATAAATGTCTCCATCCAGCCTTAAGGCTTAGGTTGCATTAGAAATAATGAAAAGTAAAAAATTGCAGTTCTACAAGGAAAACTATATACATTTATTTCTTTACTGATAATTTGTCTTCAGATCTTTGCTGGTTATCTTATTCATTCAAAATATGTTTGTATTAAATATGGGCACCACAGCTTATTGAATTCTGTTCTTATTATTTTATGAACAAGCCCACAAATTATTTTGTTTTGTTTCATGAGCCCAGCAGCTCTACCATGGATATCAAATTATAGCTAAAATAAAATAATCCCTTGCTTTGGTCTCACTTCATTATAAATGTCTTTCTTTCTTCTGTAAGAGTATTATCTAAAGATTTCTCATGTGCCAAAGGAAACTGAAACAGTTCTGCATACTTAGTGAACAAAGTGCTTGTGTGCAGTAGCCGTCAGGAATGTCCTTCTGCAATGCTGTTAAATCCCATTGGGATTTAGCTAAATGGGATTTTTTTTAATGGTTCTCGTGTATTCGTGATTTACTATTTATTCATGTTTGCCGCATTTTTTGCAGAATGTTTTTTGAATTTGGAAGCCAAAAGCAAACTCCTGAAGGTAACATGGATACACAGTACATATACGAACTTTTAGGGTAAGAAATAATTAATCAAAACAATTACATAAAGGTATGAATTTTAAGATTTGGACATAATGCATGCTCATAATCCAATGTTCTGTCTCCTTTAGTGAAAACGCCTGGTACTACATCGCAGCTTCCTTCGCTTTGCTTTGGATTCTGGTGTGGCTTTACAGAGACAGCCTGGAAATAGGGAACGTCTCAGACAAATATGTCTTTGTGACTGGCTGTGACACAGGATTTGGGAACCTTTTGTGTAAGAAGCTTGACCGTAGAGGTTTTCGTGTTCTAGCCGGCTGTCTCACAGAAAAGGGAGCTGATGATCTGAAAAGAGTTGCAGGGCCTCACCTGAAGACGGTCCTGCTGGATGTGACCAGTCAGAGCAGCATCCAGACTGCCATGGAGTGGACAAAGAAGGAGGTTGGTGATAGAGGTGAGACTGAAATCATACGATAGAAAAATAAATAAAAAATCAACCTGCATTTTATAAAATTAGTTTACATTAATTGTTCACTTGGTTTCTCTTTGTAGGACTTTGGGGTATTGTGAACAATGCCGGACGTTCCTTACCTATGGGTCCTTCAGAGTGGATGAGAGTGGAGGATTTTCACAATGTACTGAAAGTGAACATGAATGGAGTGATTGCCATGACTATGACCTTCCTGCCCCTTATCAAAAAGGCCAGTGGACGCATAGTAAACGTGGCATCTGTCCTAGGCAGGGTGGCTGCAAATGGTGGCGGATACTGCATCTCCAAGTTTGCAGTGGAGTGTTTCTCTGACTGCATCAGGTAGTTAGAGAAACACTGAACAGATGAGAAAAATATCAATTTCCATGTAATACTTTTATAACTTTTATTAGATATAGCCTGGGAGAAGAACATTTTCACATGACTCTTATTTAAGCTTATGCTAAAGGTATAAGTACTGTATACATTTACTGAATAAATTAATGCATCTTTATCCTGTGAAAAAACTAACACGGATGAAATATTTAAAGAATCTGCCTATTTCTATTGATTAAAAATGACCAAAGCAGTTTTATTATACAAAACACAGGGCAATTTAAAGCCTTCTTTGCTAAAAAAATGACTTTTCTGTTTGACTTCCCTTTTTTTTAGGAGAGATATAAGCTACTTTGGAATCAAAGTGTGTATCATTGAGCCGGGTTTTTTCAAGACAGCTGTGACCAGCCTTGATCCCATCGAGCGGGAGCTGCACCGTCTATGGAATCAGCTCAGCCCTGAAGTAAAAGCAAGCTATGGAGAAAAATACCTGGATAACTGTAAGCATAGCAAACTTTTTGAGGAAGAAAGCTTCACATGATAAACTATCATCAACTAGGTGTGTTAAAACCTCACTGTCGGCGGCTGTGGTTCATATATGGCTCAATGCCCAGAGCACTTGAGATTAAATTTTATTTTTTTTTTTTAAGTTTTTTTTTTTTTTTATATCATACTTACTTACTACAAAGGAAACTCCCCAATGTTGTGCACTCTATAAGCATTTTTTTTTTTTTTAAAGGCGTTACTTTGTGGATTGCAAATGGCACAAAAGTTGGGATCTAATTCTCAAATTTCAAGCTGGGACAAAATTAATAGTCTGTAAAGAATCTGGATGCCATTTCATCCCTTATAATAACATCTGAACTACTTAGATAAATCAAACCTGAGTAGGATAGTTCTGCACTATATATATTCTTTAAATAAATGTGTGGTTAATGACATATAGAACCTGTTTGCAAAACAAAACAAAAAGAAAAAACAGAGGTAGATTTGGTAAACAGAGAACAAATTCTTGCTTCTTCAAGAGCTCTCTGTTTTGTAATTAGAATATTTGTTGGTTTCAGGAATTTGAGAGGAAACACTTTTCCTCTATGTCACAATAAATAAAGATAAATATATTTAATTAGCATCATTTGCTGAAAACAGGAACAGTTTATATTTTCTGAGATTTCTTATAAAACTCTGTCCCAAAAAATGAAAACAGAGTTGATCAAAAACTTTTATGCATCAGATGATACATCAAGGTATTCTAAGTTTACACCCTGAACTTATTAACTAAGATTCTTTCTTCGTAGAAAATAGGAGCTTAAAATGTTTTCCTCTAAAATGTATTTACTTTTTTTTCTTTAGACATCAAGATCCAGCGATTGATCATGAATGCTGTGTGTGACTCAGACCTGAGCAAGGTGACCAGCTGCATGGAGCATGCTCTGACTGCGGCTCACCCACGCACGCGATACAGTGCCGGCTGGGACGCCAAGCTTCTATGGATCCCTCTCTCTTACATGCCTTCCTTTGTGGTTGATATTGGACTGAGGCTGGTGCTGCCTCGGCCTTCCAAGAGTGTTTAACCTGGCAAGACTTTAAAGAAACACCTTTAAAATTCTTTGCCACTTTATCATTTTGTATATGTTGATAAAGTACTGAGTGTGCTGTCCATAATCCACTCTGTCCATTTAATGATCAACGCTGTGTTTTGCTTTACTTAGAGTATATCAGTTTATACCATGGTACCAATGTAGGTGTTTTGATATTTGCATATTTTGTCAAGAAAGAATGGTCATTCCTCAGTGCTTCCAATAAAGCATAAAGTTACATTCACTGCAGTGAAAAATAATTATTTAAAACTAAGCGTGCTTTTATAACAACATGTAAATTTTGTAAACAATGAAATAGCAGTGTTGATACTACGCAGCAATGATCTGCAGCATTTTTATGGCTTTTAAGCCTGGTTTTGAGCATAACACTAATAGTGCATTAAAGACTAATATCTATAACTTTAATATTAGAGTCAATCAAAATTCAAATGTCAAATGTCTGTGACCAACAGCCTGTAGCAGCAGAGATAAACAGTAAATGACAACTGCATAAATCTTCAACTACTTTCTATTTACATACACCAACCTTTTTATAGAAATATCATTCAATTAAAATTTAGTGTAAGCCAGTGTAATGCCAAAGCCAGTTGGGATTTTGAGGGGAGAGAAGCAAACATAAAAAAAATGAACAAAGAAGCACTGATCCAGAAATACTTTCTATGTTAGAACATGTAACAACAAACAAGCTCCATAGATGGCTCTGTCTACGAAAGAAACTGATAAGCAGGTAAAATTAGGCAGGGTGTTTTTCTCATGGTCTAAAACTGATAGGTGGTTCCACCGGAAAGAAGCCATATAACTAAAAGATCTACCTCCCATTCTACTTTTAGAAATTCTAGGAACTACAAGTAAACCTGCAGATTGAGAGTGAAGTGCTCTGTTAGGAACATAAGGAACAATTAGATCTCTGATATACCATAGAGTTTGGTTATTTAGTGCTTTATACTCTATATAAATTCTATTCTGGATTTGACCAGAAGCATTAAAGGGGAGCTGATAGAAATAGGATCTCTCTTTATTTAAACTTTCATCCAAACTCTCACCTTGGATCAGCTGAGGGCTTTTAAATGCATTTTGTAGACTTCATAACAATAACAACAATAACAACAGTCCAACCTTGAATCAACTATTGCAGGGATCTTCAATGTTTTCCAGGCCAAGGGCCCCTGAACTGATGGAGAGATGGAGTGGGACCCCCTAATTATATATTTTGTATGAAATTGTGTTATATCAAACTGGTCCTATAGTCACTCTGTTATATATGGAGTAATGTAACAAAATTGATTTCCCCTTGGGATTATTAAAGTATGTTTAATTCTGATTCCTTGTTGATGGGACAGGTGTTGTGAATGACACTGTGCCCAGCTTAAAAGAGCTCCTGTGTGTCGCTGAATGTGTGCATTGATGACTGAAAAATATCTTTTGGCTCTATTTTTCAGTTTACTACAGTGTGTTGAATTCATGTTAATGTGTATTTTTAGACATTTTAATTAGTGGAAAAAATTGCAGGGGGATATATATATATATATATATATATATATATATATATATATATATATATATATATATATATATATATATATATATATATATATATATATATATATATATATATATATATATATATATATATATATATATATGTATATATATATATATATATAAATTTAATCAACCAAAACTTTCGTGACCCCCATGCAGTACCTCTGCAGACCCTTTAGGGGTCGCGGACCCCCTGTTGAAGACTATTTTATGGATCAGTTTTTCCGCATCATTCCTAGGACAGGATGTTGAATAAAATGCAATATTTCAGGGATGAAGCAAGGAAATTCTAGAAGCCTTTTTACTATTTAATTCAAATGACATGTCCTAAACAAAAGAAACACCATGGTTTAGAAATGTTATCATTGGATGCAAATTTACTGCAATCTAAATAAAGTGACTGACTAAGCAACATTTTTTCATAATGTAGGTTTTATAATGTAGTTTATTAAATACATAAATAAATAGCATGCTTTATTGAATTATTAATGGGACATTAATTGGTGGCATCAACACAATAATCTAAGTTTTAGTTTTTTCAGAACAGTTTTATTTATTAGGTTATCACCTCTTTTTTAACTATGTTAAGTTATTGCTAATATATATAAAAATAAAAACCCTCACCCTGATCAATGCTGCTGGGGAAAATTGTAACAATTCCGACGCAACTTGAATGCAGCACAGCCTTTGAAGCTGAACTCTGCGGTTTATCGGGGTAATTAGGTGGAGCTTCCAGCTGGATCTTTCTCAGCAGACCTGCCATCCAGACCAGCTGCGCACTGAGCGGCTGTGTGTTGTCTTTCACCATGCACTGTCTCACAGCGCTGAGATGGTCAGATCTCCTACAAGTTATTTCCAAAAATACCAGTAGGACGAGGAATTTTCTCTTCATACATCCAGCATGTTGTCTGAACAGAAAATCAACAAACACCTTCCAGCGACGGACTTATACCCACATGGATAATTTCCATAATAAAATGTAAGTAGTCTGCTTTTATTTGATGGACCAGAGCTACCTGTTGACAATTTATTTACATTTTTTTTTTATCTGCTGATAAGATAAAACCGACAAGCAACAAGCAAAAAAAAAAAATAAAAAAAAATAATAATAAAAATAAATAAATAAAAAAGTAGAGTCTCTGGAATTAATTGATTGTAGGAAATATGATTTATAAATTACTGAATGGAGTCCAAGAGTAAAAAAAAAAAAAAAAAATATGTGTCATATTATTAATGTGTACAAAACTGCTAATAATTGTTTATTACATTTTATTGAGCTGATAAGATTGCAATATATTGTGTTCTATTGCATTCTATTATATATTCTACTCCATTATGAAGGTATGATTCTTTTCTTTTCTCAAGACTTTACTTTTTATTTCAGAAACTTGCATTCCGTATCTCCAAGCTCTGGAGTGGAAAATATGCTTTTCTACACCATCACAGAAGGAAGAGACCAAGTGCCAATTTCATACTTTCATGCTGTAAATATAGTTTTGTTTTGCATATTAAGCATTCAATGATTCCATATGCCCTGTACCAACAGGTAAAATTGATTCCATAGATGTTATTTAATGGGTTTTACAAATTATCTGCAGAGACAGTTTGGTGAAGATGGATTTGTTCTTTTGCAGGCCCTGAAAAAAACTGGTCTTCAGCCTTCAGACCCTCGGCTCAAAGAGTGCATGGAGAAGCTACGGCGGGCAGTGAAGGACTCTGTTGGAGAGGTGATGATGGACAAAGACCTTTTCCGCAGGTGAAAATCATCCTTTACGGAATTAGCATTCGATCCATACAGCACAATTTGAAACAATTTGTTTCATTTTCTTTGATTGCAGTATTACTAGTGTGGTTTATACCTGTAATTTTAACTCAAAAAGTGTGGGTTGTGTTTTGCGTCCATAGAGTTTTCTACAGCTCTTCAGATCAGTATCTTTGTCGGCGCTTAGAGCCTCATGCTATTGTTTTGTTTCCATTCATCATCAAGACTATTATTAGTCTGACCTTCAGATAAGAATCAATTTTTCCATTTGAATAAAGGTATATAGCATGTGTAATGCTGCATAATTATGTCTCCGCTTACTTCTGTTGTATATTTTTATGTTGTGAAGTTTATGGGAAGAGTGGAATTTTCATGCTATGTGATCTAATATAACACCTGCCCCTCTCATTGTTCCCCCTACTTAACTGGTGCAATGGTCAGACCTTTTGCGAAATGCTTCCCTACCCTCCCCTATTAGACAAGGTGCATCCTTAGGTTTGTTTTATAAGCTATGATTTTTTTTAGAAATACAAAATACAAACAATACATTAATAAATCCCCCGAATTTAACCCATTCCATTTGGGATCAGCGGGCAACACATATTAAGTGGTGCCAGTCTAACTGAGGGACCACTGATAGGCTGAGTTTTGAACCTCAGACCTGTGTTGCCTTCCAGGATACACTTTCTCTAAGCTACTAACCACTAGGACACCACTTGAATTTTATTTTTGCTATAATTATTAGCCTAAACCTCTCCTTTTATTTCTCCAACCTGAGAATAATCTTATCCGATTAACTCTTTGCTGCTCTTTTACTTTCAGATGTGTGGGTGGCAACATCGTTCTCCTAATTCAGGCCTTCAGAAACAAATTTATCATCCCTGAATTTGATGTGTTTGCACAAAAAATCGATGAAATCTACAAGACAGTGCAAGAACAAAGTGATGGAAAGGTAATCTCATGTTTAGCTACAGCAAAATGTTTTTATTATGTATGATGACCTGGTTCAGAGTAACTTAATCAGATAATAAACATGTTTACATTAGCAGCCCTCTGCTGTAAATATAAGCCAAACTTCATTACTATGGTTTTATGACTGATTTGCCTTTTCTTTGCCTTTCTCTTTAAACCTGTGGCATCAGGTTGCTGACTACATCCCCCAGCTGGCCAAGTTCAGCCCAAAACTATGGGGTGTGTCTTTATGTACAGTTGATGGCCAGAGGTATGGTTGACATTAAATTTATTGGACCATTAATTACAGAGACTAGACTTACAACTGAATCTTATAGAGAGAGGATTTGAGATGGTAATAATAGATTATAAAATATGTATAGAAAGATCGTTGACTTGAAGGTCTTCTTTATAAAATTGCTTGAAGTGCTAAGGAGATGCACTGTCAAAGATAAGAAATATGTATGAAGATGACGATGAAGATAATTTAAAAAAGCTCTGCGACTGAGAACCATTTGTAACTGGGCTCAAATAACTTATTTTAAGTCAAAGTTTAAAAACCCGTTTTTTTAGAACTGCCTCGATTGTTGAAGTTAAAGAGTAAACTGAGGTATTTTTGGGTTCAGTTTGTGGTCCACCTGTTTTTTTTAAAACATGTTCTTTGTCTTTACTTGCTTTTATTTTGCTTTTATTTTTCAATTTTATTATCAAATTAATGTAAGCCCTGTGAATTGTCCATGTTTTGAATTGTGCTGTACAAATAAACTTGCCTTGTCTTTTCTTTCTCTAGGATTTGATTTAAAAAGTCATAGTCATATGTTTAATACAACATAGAGCTCCAAAAATATCCTCCACTGGCTGATTTTTTATCTTTATTGATGCAAAAATCTTTATTTGAGTCAGTGCTAAACATTTTTAATTCAAATAGGGTATCTCTGTGTTATTTTGTCCTTTTTCAGGCATTCTGTTGGTGACACGAAGCAGCCGTTCTGCCTTCAGTCATGTGTGAAGCCCCTTCAGTATGCCATCGCTGTGCATGAGTCTGGAACAGAGAGGGTTCATAGCTATGTGGGCATGGAGCCCAGCGGACTCAAGTTCAATGTGCTCTCTCTTGATGAGGAAGGTATGCAACAGATCATTACCACCTCGACTCACTACTAAAACCTCGCTTACTCTTTCCGTGTATGATCACGCTGAATATTTTCTTCTTTACTCACCTCAGCTAATTAATGTTTAACTGACTTTCATATTTCCAGATGTTATCTTAAACTCTTCTTATGTGTTTATCTTATTTCGCCCTTACACAGATAAGCCTCACAACCCCATGGTGAATTCTGGAGCTATTTTGATCAGCTCTCTTATCAAGGTAAACAGGTTGACTTGACTATAGTCACATTTAGGTCATGCTCAAATAATGAAGTTAGCAATTTCTAGTAAAAACAAATTACAGAAGCATATTAACAAGGTGGCTTTGCTGCTCTAAAGCTGCTCTAAATTCTTTATTGTTGCGTGGAAACAAAGACAAAAAGCAATGACCATTGAAGCCGTTGTTTTTTTTTGTTCTTTTCCAGACATCTAAATAATTTTTGCTTTTTAGACACTTGATTTTTTTAGATATAAGAAATAATCAATGTTAGAACCCTACAGATAATTGGGTCAGTTGCTCTGTAGATGTACAACCAGATTTGAACATGAAACATAAAGCCTAAATATGTATAATTTGTGTCTTAATGGTTATTTTTCTACATTTTAAACAGAAAAACTAACAAACTGATCCCTTTTCTGCAATTATATTAGTCTAAGATAATACCTACGGTTTATTTATTGCTGCCTATCTGTCTTTTGTTGCTCCAGGTGAAAGCAGGCCACTAAATTGTGCAATCAGTAAAATATTAATGAAACTTCTCAAGCAGGTAATAAGAGAACTAACATCTGCAATCAAATTTGCTCTTCATTTTCAGCCCCTCTCAAATAAGGCAGAAAAGTTTGACTATGTAAGTAATGCATTTTAAACCATGATTTTAAAATGAAGACACTGTTATATGGTTTTTCAAAGGTGCACTGATTTAATGAAGTTTTGTTCTTTTTGTTTCCTAGTTCATGGAATTTGTAAAAAAGATGGCTGGTCAAGAATATGTTGGATTTAGCAATGCTACGTGAGTGTTTCATACCTCAAAAATATCCTTTTTTCTCTCTATGAACATATATGCTGCAGTAGTTACTCTCCTAGGCAATCTAAATGTTCCGCTTTCTCAGAGTATTATATGCTATATTATTGGGCTTCACTGCTTTTCTTTTTTAGGTTTCAGTCAGAAAAGGAGACTGGTGACAGAAACTTTGCAATTGGATACTACATGAAAGAGAAAAAGGTCTGTTAGGGCATTTGTTTTTTTAATATGTTTGTTTTAAATTGTCTGTTTCTGCACAAATGTTTTGCCAAAAAGACTAGTAATTCATATTTTTTTTCTGATTCTCTTGTTATATTCACCAGTGTTTTCCTCCAGGAGCTGATATGATTGATGCCCTCGATTTCTACTTCCAGGTAAACTGCTTTTTCATCAAACAGGCAGCGCATCTTCGGCTCGGATTTAACATGGACTTAAATAAGTTGATCTATTTTTGACTTGACTTGCATGTTTGCCTTCAGCTTTGCTCTATTGAGGTGACCTGTGAGTCAGGAAGCGTCATGGCTGCCACCTTGGCCAACGGAGGGATTTGTCCAATCACAGGCGAGCGAGTCCTTAGTGCTGAGGCGATGCGGAACACCTTGAGCCTCATGCATTCCTGTGGCATGTATGACTTCTCTGGCCAAATGGCTTTTCACGTGAGTATGAGTCAAGGTTTAAATTGTTTTAAGTTTTTATTGTTCTTTTAATTGATTTAGTCCTGACTTCTGGTTTTCTAGTTTTTTGTTTTTAGTGTTTGTTAGCAAGTTTAGTTTTTATTTTTTGAAAATGCTTATTTTCATTTTAGTTTTTATCATTTTCGGTCATAGTTTGAGTTTTTTATGTATTATGATTTGCATACTGGCAAGACAAAAAAATAAAGTAAAAATAATAATAGAAATAAAATCCCAGATAAGGACAACCTGCTGCAGCAACATAAATGACCTAACTACCATACCTGCCATCTGCTGGCGTAATGTGGTACAGCGAAAAAAAGGAATAAACACCAACAGGAAACTAGACTTCATGTTAATGCATTATGATCAAAGTTGGGGTATATACCTGTAAACCTGGGAGCATACAGTCCTGTTGGGGTTGTTTTCTGGAATACTGTAACCCCTGTTTAATTATATTGCAGAGTATATTTTATTTTTTTAATTGTTTGAAAAAACAATTTTATCAGCTTCATACCTATTTGTCAATGTGCAAGATAGTTACTTTGGCTAGTAACTAGTTACTTTTCCTAAGCAGTAGTGGAGATACTAACTCAGTTACTTCTCTGGGGAATTTACTAGTAACTATAACTAGTTTCTTTTATTAAGTAAGGTTCCCAGCACTGATTATGATAAAGAAAACTAAACTTATTCTCTCTAAAAATTTGGTTGTTTTAATGAAAATGTTGAATTCTAGTTTTCGGCATTTTACTGTTTTAGTTATGAATAATATATATATTTTTTATGATTTAATTCTATTGTTGATATTGTGTTCTTCACCTTATCATCTAGGTGGGTCTACCAGCTAAATCTGGAGTGTCTGGGGCAATACTGCTGGTGATCCCTAATGTAATGGGAGTGATGTGTTGGTCTCCACCTTTGGACAAAGTTGGGAACAGCGTCCGAGGAATACATTTTTGTCAGGCAAGATCAAATATTAGTTTCTCCTGAGAAGTTTCTTCTTAGTTTGGATTACTGAGTATTTGTTTTTTAATATTTTGCAGATCTCGATAAGTATAAAAAATTTATAAAGATTTTTTTTGCAAAAATGTATATCCATACTTTATTCCCTCTCTAGTTGACAAAATAATATAAATATATGTTAATCTGGATAAAAAATACTTGTGTTGTGTTGTTTATACTTGTTTTATTAAAAAAATTTTAACGTCCCCACTGGTTTACGATAATAACCTCCATTATTTGTTCATTGTTTAAATGTGCATTTATGCATCACTCATTAGCTCATCTGTTAGAAATAATGTTTTTTTGCAGGTTTTCTGTATCTATACTTCTATTTTATAAAGTCAACTTTGATATTTACACTCTAAAACATGGGAAACACTTTGAGAAACGTGGGAAACATATGCCTGAAATGCAAGTCCGTAAAAAGCATTATCCTATCATGAACAATGTGAGGGAAGCCTGTGTGCTTTCTGATCATTCAGTCCTTGTTTTCATGCTGTTCTGATTGTGATAAGTTAGAATGAGGTTGGTGACTGATTTTTTTATTTATGTTTTCTTGTGCTAAACCTGATGTCTATAAAAAAGCAACTTTACTCTGAAGTTATATGCTCTTTATTTTTAGGAGCTGGTTTCACAGTTTAATTTCCACAATTATGACAACCTTAGGCACTTTGTAAAGAAGCAAGACCCTCGCCGGCAGGATGGAGATGACAGGGTAGGCTGCTGCACTTGTGTTTGGTGTCATATCTGTGTTTACATTCATCACTTTGTTTATGAATTTTCAATGTATTTGCAGAACAAGTCTGTTTTCAACTTAATGTTTGCTGCCTTCAGTGGGGATGTGTCAGCAATGAGAAGGTACTAGAAGCTTGATTATTTGGTGGGACTGAAAATATACTGTTTTAACATCGGGTTTGAATACATAATAAAAATAAATAAAAAAATGAGTGAAGGAAAAAGCTTACCTAAGAGAAAGTGTTGCTTGGTTAAAGGTTATGAAATAAATTATTTTACAAAGCATGAAAAATAGTATTAAGTGGAAAGCCGTCAATGCATATATGTTTCTCGCTCTGATGTTAGATTAGATAATCAGATATTGCACTAAAGTAATTTTCATCTCTTCAGAAACACCACAAGGAAGCATGGAGAGAACCATCTCAGTCTGCATTTTGTAAACACCTAATCTCTATAAATCAACCCGAGTTCTGAACACCAAATCTCTTTGAACCAACATGAGAAACTTTTGTATTTTCTTGTTTAAGAAAGTATGCTCAATTCTCTAGCATAAATGTTGCCTAGTAAACTAGCCCCACATGCGAGCGTCCAGAATCATTTTTGCCTGCGAGATTATATTACACATTTAATCTCACATTTAGCCTGGTTTATCAGGGTAGCATAAATGGTAATAATAGTACAAAAGCTTTTTCACTGATACTAATAACGCAATCCTTCCAGTAAAGATGCATGTGGCTCTCAGTTCAGAGGCATCCAAGTTTGACGTGTTCCAGCGCTGTGAAATGTTTTTTAGATTTTTCTTTTGTAAGACATGACAGGCAGATCAAATCGGTTCATTTCTTTCTTTTCATGCCACTCAAAAAACAACTACGCAGCGGTCAAAAACTGTATGCCTGAATACATGAGCTAACCTGGCCCCAATAGCCAACTCCTGCTGCAGTCACCTGTCTATATTGAAGGGGCGGAGGCAAGAAACTACGTCAATTATACACAACAGCAAAAAATACAACAAAAAAATTCCTTGTTTCATAATTAAGTCAACTCATACTACAAACCAACTTATTTCATGTTCATATATGTCATAAGAAGCCAGAAATAATGAAACAGTCAAACATAAATTGAGCATTTGGCTCCAACAGATACTTCCCACTTCAGCTATAAGAGAGTGATATATTTTAATATTTTGTGTCTTGTTTTTAAAAACTTTAGAGGAGAAGCCATTTCTCAGAGCAATCACAGAGCCACTAAGATCGGGCAACATGTATGATATGTTCCTCCCTCATTCCTATTACATCACTTTTATGTTATGGTTATGTTCAGTGGAGATGTATGTTTTGCCATAGAGATAGGCACCATATATTACTAATGACTCTCTCCTCTTGCAGTGTTGGATTTGCCTTTAGAGAAATTAAAGCTTATATTAGAATGTATTCAAAGTCATTAAGAAAATACTTCTGTTCTTCAGAAGCATAAAGACAATATTAACTTGGACACAAAAAACAATACCTACTTTTTTTATTTGGAGCGATCCCAAATATTTTTCCACTCATGTCCACTTGGTTTTAAATTACATGTTTGTCATTCGCAATGTGTTCACTGTTTATCAGTAACAACTGGCTGATGTTGCAGATTTGCTCTCTCATCTGTGGACATGGATCTGAAAGACTACGACTCCAGAACAGCGCTACACATCGCTGCAGCAGAGGGTGAGCTCCTCTATCATCTCTCATATCGTTAGTTATTTTTGGAAACAAAAATGTTCAGCTGTCTGGTGTTCATCAACCTAACTGTCATGGCTGGTATTCATGTTAATGTGCCATAGTCAGAATGTGTAAACATTCCCTTTCAGACATCTATTCAACATAATTTGGTATTTATCAGGCAGCTCCTAACTCTGTTTAGCAACGACTGAAGACTGGCAAGACGTTTATTGTAACTTCTTTGGGTATATTTTCTTTTTGTTTTAGAAACTATTTTCAGAGCATCTAATTGAAAATCAAATAAATATGAAATACATAGATAAACTTTGTGTAGAAAGCTATTTTTAAAGGTTATTTATCTGGGTAAGTGGTTAGTAAGAGTTTTATTTTTTTGCAAATTGGTTAAGCTAAGTTCTTCCTTCCATAATCAGATTTTAAAATGATTATGTGTGGAAAAAACTGGAATTTTATAAAATAAAACAATATTTATTGTAATTTCAGTAATTCATGCTCACATACAGAGATGTCAAGTAGCAAAGTACAAATACATTGTTACCTTCAGAAAAATCTATACTTTAATGGTGTAATTATTTTTTTGTGAAGTTTTTACCTCTAATCCGTACATTTTTTTTTGCAATTATCAATACTTTCTATTCCTTACATTTAGAAAAGGATTTGTTAGTTTTGTTTAATATAAGCCAATGTTGTTATGGCCTCTTGATATATATATAAATAAAAAAAGTTTAATACAGACAGTTAATTTCTTTGTTGTACTGCACCAACTTGTTCTTCCACACATACCAAAATAGTCTTTGAAGATGATGCAAAGATAATTTGCTGCCATTAGTTATAAACCTAAAAAGATTAAGTAAAAGGGAATTATCATCCAGAATTGTAAAAAAAATAAAAAATAAAAAAATAAAATAAATGTTTCTCTAATAGGGTAGTGCATGCATCTGTCCTCAACATTTTTTTCCTGCATTACTTTTACTTTTATACTTTAAGTAGTTTTAAATGGCTGTTTTTACACTTTTACTTGAGTAAAAAGCTTAAGTTGATACTCTAACTTCTACAAAAGTGTTTTTAAATGGTAGGATTTATACTTCTACTTGAGTAATAAACATGAATACCTTTGACACCTCTGCTCATATACTATATAGACTCATTGTGCAGAGTGAAATACATTAGTCCTTCACTTTCTGTAAGTTACAAGGTAACCTACAGATAATCTACTTTCTGTAGATTATCTGCTTTCGGTAGATTATCTGTAGGTTATCACTTACAAAAAAGAAAAAGGCAACATTTAATGTCTCTGATTGTTAGTTATATTCTAAATTAAGTTATATTTTAAACATTCCCTGTGTCACGCACGCATCAGCTAATTAACAATTGCAAACCTTTGCTGAGCCTCTGATCTTTCTATCTGGTTTAGTGAGCTCAATCAATCAACCTTTATTTATAGAGCTTTACAACAGAACCTGCTGAACTAAAGTGTTTTCCATAAGTTCAATAGAAACAGTTTCAACACAGTAAATAATAAAATTGAAAGTAGAAAGTATAATTTTAAAATGTATAATCTTTGCCCGTTTGTTTTCAGGTCACATTGATGTTGTAAAGTTCCTCACTGAAACCTGCAAAGTTGATCCTTTTGTGCAAGACAGGTCAGATCTGTTCATTGTTAGAATCCTTTTTTTTCTTTTTGTTACAAAGGTTATCAAACATCCTTTTTTAAATTAAATATCTGACCTATATCTGTGTTCTGCATGCATACATAATTATCTCTGATTATGTACAGGTGGGGGAATCTTCCAGTTGATGATGCCATGCAGTTTGGCCATGAAGAAGTAGTAAATATGCTCAGAGAATACCAGCAAGACTGGAAGCAGCAGGAAAGGCAGCATGGCGAGGCCGAACGTCCCCCAAAACTGGACACAATTGAGGGCATGGTTTGATATTTTTAAAAGTAAAATTTTAACATGTCAGAACATGAGTGACATTTGTTAAACTTGAACTAAGTGCAGAACCAAAGAAATCTTGACTAAATGAATGTAATTGAATTTTGCATATTGTAACAATTACGTATATAAAGGGTATAAGGTTTTAAATTTGTACTTCTTCTAAACTTGTCAAGTAAAAAACTTTTGAGCAAATTATAACTTTGGACATTAATCTAAAGCTCTGCTGAAATATTTGTATGAAAGAACGTCCTTTTTAAAACGTAGACTCTCTGTATGATTTAAAAAAAAAACAGTATGTCGATAAAATGCTTTTACTGAGGTTTTTTTTTTACAAGGGATTATTGAACTATATTGTACCTATATGCACACATACAAAGACAAACTCTTAAAGAAATCAAAGATTTTAACAAGTATACTGTAGTATTTATGTCTGCCTTCCTTTATGTAGATTTTGTGTAATCATAAGAAAAACAATCACTTGCACTGGGAGAATTGCAATTAATGCAATATAAGTTTAGGAGTTTTTTATGAGTGATAGCCATTTCTAAGGAGTTTGTCTTTAAATCACCAGATTTTTCAGTTACCAAATAGTGCTATGGAGCCATCAGACTAAACATCTATTCAATCGGAGCAGAAAAAAGAAGCTTCATTAATAAAACAGTTTGGAGAAACCTTTAGTTGCATTCAGATGGACCACTCCCTTAGAAACAATGCATCCTTTAGGATCCTTTATATCGCTATTGTTGATAAAACACAGATCCAGCCTTCTTAGTAGCCAAAACAACACAAGGTTATCCAACTTAGCTGGATTCCTGAATTTATTGAATAAAGGACTTACTCATCTGGTTTTGATTTCCTCTGACCAGCATGCTCCTGTGTAAGGAGCAATGTAATGTGAAACATAACTGGAATTTAGAGGATAATACATTCTAATTAAAACCTAATCTGTTAAGGGATTTTAGATTTTACACAAGGAAGAAGAAAACAATGGTTTAAAATAAATTATGGGGACATCTTTTTAGTGAAGTTTTTCAGAATTCTTTTTGTTTTTTCTGTTTTGTGGTAAACATCAGGTAAAAAAAATGTCATAGTCCTTAAATATAACTGTCATGAGTTTTGGTGAGTTTGATGTGTTTGGTGAGTTTGATGTGTTTGGTAGCAACAATTCAAGCAGCACTTGAAATAAAATTGTTATTTCAATTAATATGATTTTGAATGATGTTTTTGTTGCTAGAAAAAAAGCCATATAATTTATCTATCATTTTCCAACATAAAATTTAAACCAAAAATGAAAAAGAAATCAGGATATCATTTTTATTACTTTTATTTTGATGGAGTGAAGAAAAAATCCAGACTTTTCTTTTATTTCGAGGTATATCGCTCATCTTCTTAACCCATGATCTGCAAAATCAAATTTAAAAGGATCAGTCATGATGTTTAAAGACGAAGCATTTGTATCAATGCAATTCTTGAGTTATCAAATACTGACGCTGTTCATCCAGCTGATGTAAGCAGAAGAACGGGTGAAGACGGTGGGTTTTTTGTAGGTGTTGCAGCCAAGTGAAGACACAAAGCTGGTCACTCCGTGGACCACCCATTGGCCGTTGACACTGCAATTCAGGGGGCCACCAGAATCACCCTGTATAAATGAAATCAAACAGAATTCAATAACCAACACCACTGCCTCTAACTTTATTCATTCCGTCTTATTGCCTTGGAAAAATATTCCTGCCCCTTTAAATCTATTTGTGTTTTTGGCAAGGAGAACATTTATCAGAGACTCAGCAGAGAGGCCAATAAAAAGGAGTACGAATAAAGTTGCTCTGAAAAGAGAGAGCAGCATATTTCAGTTTGATGTTTACTAAAATACTTATAAAGGAAATAAAAAACATGCAGGGAGGTGTTCAAAATTAAACCTATGTGCCCTACACATCTATCTACAGAGGGGAATAGTAGCAGCAGCATGCTGTGGCCAACCTTAATTTCAGCAGGTATATTGGATTAGGTCAGAGTGGATGTGGAGATATAATAAATTAAATGGAGCAAAGTACACAAAGAAAATGTTAGAAGCTTTAAAAGTCTCAAGACTCAATGGTGTGTAGTTTAACTTTGCAGCAGAACAAAAACATTCACTATTATTACAGAACTTCAATATACTTTATGTGTTACAGTGGCTCAGTCAAAGTACCAATATCTAAAATAGATTTTAAGACATCTAAGACTAAGATTAATAGGAACCTTTATTTAATCTAGCTGTGCAAGCAGTTAATTGTCATTGGCATGGTTCTGTTTAGTTTGGGTTTGGACTCATGACAATTTTTTCTGTTCAACTTGTCACTAATGAGCCACCAGCAGTTATCCTACCAGCTCAGTCTGCTTCCAGCCACCACTCCATTCTAAATTATCTCCACCTGTTCCCACTAATGAGTTACTGAGCTCAGTTTTTCACCAGCCTACCTATACCTGCCTCTGCCTACTCATCTCTGCCAGATTGTCTCACTCTCTTCATTGCCTGTTGGTTCTGTCTCCGCCTACATCTCCTGGTTCTCTGCTCATCCCTGCAAACCAGTACTTTCGGCCAAGATTATTCTGTCAAGATTGTGATTGTTTGCCTGCTTCATCTGCCACTATTCACCCCTTCAATAAACCCTTTAAACGTAACTCTGTGTCTGGCTGAATATCAGGTTCACCTACAGTAAAGTGTGACAGTTAATTCAGTGGACTAGATGTCCAAACCTAGTAGACTTACACTAAAAGCCACTTTGTGAGAAAAGATCCTAATACAAAGAACAGGTTCCGGTGTGAGTTTTTACAGATGAATATGTGTCAGATAAAAATTGTTTTATTTTCAGTAAAAATACAAATATGTGTAATTCATGGTTTTGGGTAGTAAGGTGACACAAGGTAATTAAATCATTTTTAAACAGCACTGTTTTCATCAGATTTAATTTAATTTAATCATCCAGATTGTGGTGTACCAACAGATAGCTCACCTGGCAGCCAGAGTCGCTTTCACCTCCAGCACAGACCATGGTGTTCTTCACCGTGCTGCCCCACCATCCGTAGCTGGTGCAGGTTTTGTAGTCAACAACAGGCAGGTAGGCTTGTTTCAGCTGAGCAGACAGGCTACCACCAGCTGGGAAAAACATACAACATATTGTACAGCTTGTCAGTAATGTTAATCGTGTTGTTTGCTGGTGAAGATTCTCAGTCATCCAGTTCATAGTCATTCCAAAAAAAGATTAAAAAAACAATGTTTTACTTCCCATCCAGGAAGCTTTTTCAATTCAAAATGTAAGAATTAGCGTTGAGTTCTAAGCTGTGTTCATCATGTTGATGTGAAATTGCATTTGACGTACTCTGAGTGCGTCCCCATCCGGTGATGTAGCAGGGATGGTTGTGGGACAGAACCTGGCCGGAGGGGGGCAGATTGGCCAGCTGGACGTAGTTGTTGAGGACAGCATCAGAGGACAGGCGCAGCAGAGCAATATCATAGCTAAAATAAGGAGGAGGCAATATACTTTTTTAAAGATCTTTGATAAGCTGTTTAGAGAAAAGCTTATACTAGAATGTCACTTTCTGTTCTTGGTCAGCTTAAAAAATAAGGCCTGATATATTTGATAGATCAAATATCTGTTCTTAAACACATTAAAACTATGCATTTTTTTCTTTAGGAATCAGATATCTTGTATTTTTAATAAAAGTTCAGCAACAGAAAGATAGTTTTATTAAAAACATAAAATGCTAAAGCCTATGTTTTATTGTCAGTAGAATTCTTTCATTTTAAAAGTAAAGATAAAATGCTTTAAATTATAAATTTTACATGAAAGTGAATCTGATTGCCTGAAATAATAGATCTATTGGAAGTAATAAAAAATCCAATGCTTACATAAATACAAAGCAGCTACATACAACATCCTCTCAATTAAATAACGGAACATATAAACCATTTTTAAAATGTTTTTTAAACCTTAATGCAGTGTAATATGTAACAATGTGCAGTTTTTCGCTCTTCAAACCCCAATAAATATGTGAAACCACATTTTTTACTAACCCTCCAGCGACGTTGTTGGAGTTCCAGTTGGGGTGAATGTAGACCCTGCTCACGCTCATGTATTGCTCTCTTCCCTCATTTTTGTTGATGTCATGATCTCCAAGAACAACACGCCATGTCCTGGAGCTTTGGTCATACAGAAGATTTATTTTTATTTTTTTTATATATATTAATTCAGTAAATAAAAAATCAATTTAAACTAAAAAAAAATGAATGATTTTCTATCTGATTCTCTTTACTGTGTTTTAACTTTACTGTGATGTATTAGACTCCCACCTGTCCACACAGTGAGCAGCAGTCATCACCCATCCTCTCCTGATTAGGGTTCCTCCACAGGTGTGATAGAAGTAGCTTCCAGATTTGTACTGAAGGGAGATCTGAAAGAAAAATTACAACAAAAATCTTTTCAAACCATTTTTAAATGATTTAAGTCTATTTTTAAAGGCTTTAAACGAACAGATATAACGATTGCTCAGTTTTTGGGTCACTGTGGCAGGTAAGATTCATTAACTGCATTTATTTCTTAGAAAGATCCAAGAGATGTATTTTCATTTCCAGTCATACACTATATTGCCAAAAGTATTTGCTCACCTGCCTTGACTCACATATGAGCTTAAGTGACATCCCGTTCCTAATCCATAGGGTTCAATATGACGTCGGTCCACCCTTTGCAGCTAGAACAGCTTCAACTCTTCTGGGAAGGCTGTCCACAAGGTTTAGGAGTGTGTTTATGGGAATTTTTGACCATTCTTCCAGAAGCGCATTTGTGAGGTCGCACACTGATGTTGGACGAGAAGGCCTGGCTCTCAGTCTCCGCTCTAATTCATCCCAAAGGTGTTCTATCGGGTTGAGGTCAGGACTCTGTGCAGGCCAGTCAAGTTCATCCACACCAGACTCTGTCATCCATGTCTTTATGGACCTTGCTTTGTGCACTGGTGCACAGTCATGTTGGAAGAGGAAGGGGCCAGCTCCAAACTGTTCCCACAAAGTTGGGAGCATGGAATTGTCCAAAATGTCTTGGTATGCTGAAGCATTCAGAGTTCCTTTCACTGGAACTAAGGGGCCAAGCCCAGCTCCTGAAAAACAACCTCACACCATAATCCCCCCTCCACCAAACTTTACACTTGGCACAATGCAGTCAGACAAGTACCGTTCTCCTGGCAACCGCCAAACCCAGACCCGTCCATCAGATTGCCAGATGGAGAAGCGCGATTCGTCACTCCAGAGAACGCGTCTCCACTGCTCTAGAGTCCAGTGGCGGCGTGCTTTACACCACCGCATCCGACGCTTTGCATTGCACTTGGTGATGTATGGCTTGGATGCAGCTGCTCGACCATGGAAACCCATTCCATGAAGCTCTCTGCGCACTGTTCTTGAGCTAATCTGAAGGCCACATGAAGTTTGGAGGTCTGTAGTGATTGACTCTGCAGAAAGTTGGCGACCTCTTCGCACTATGCACGTCAGCATCCGCTGACCCCGCTCCGTCAGTTTACGTGGCCTACCTCTTCGTGGCTGAGTTGCTGTCGTTCCCAAACACTTCCATTTTCTTATAATACAGCTGACAGTTGACTGTGGAATATTTAGGAGCGAGGAAATTTCACGACTGGATTTGTTGCACAGGTGGCATCCTATCACAGTTCCACGCTGGAATTCACTGAGCTCCTGAGAGCGACCCATTCTTTCACAAATGTTTGTAAAAACAGTCTGCATGCCTAGGTGCTTGAATTTATACACCTGTGGCCATGGAAGTGATTGGAACACCTGATTCCAATAATTTGGATGGGTGAGCAAATACTTTTGGCAATATAGTGTATTTTGATTATATCTATGCATAGAGTAGGTCTATTCGACTTTTACATAAAGTTGATGTAAAACTGTAGATTTCAGAAGTTTAACATCAAGTCAACAGGTTTCATGTAATTGATTTGCTGATTGATTGAGCTTGACAAAAAAAAAATCATATTCATATTTCAAAACTTGTTGTAGTTTAGAATAACCCAAAACTGTTTATTTATTTTTTTTTCTTATTTTACATGATGTTGGGAATTTTTTGTTGTTTGCATGCTTTTAACAGAAATTGTGGGGTCAAAAAAGGTTTAAAAGTTTACCTGCCACGGCCAGGAGTTTGGTCTGGCCACCTCTCCTCCCACCACTCTTTCCTCACCAGACTCATCCTCCAGGTACCTGGGCTGGGGCTCAGCCAGCACTGAGCAAAACAGATATTCAGGGGGAGAACAGGTGAACATTTTAAAGTCAATTCCGGGCTCCTGTGAAGAATCTTTAAAATAGAATAAGGCTGGACTTACCCAAGGCTGCAAGAGAGGTCAACAAAAGAAACCTGAGCATGTCTGCAGTCTCCTCACACTTTCTGCTGCAACAGCCTCTGTCCACTTCTCTTTTATACCCTCAGGGCAGCTAATACTGATAATGGTGTGGATAATGTGTCCAACATCATCACATGTCCACCTGTGAAGATCCCACAGTTATCGTAAAGGCTGAAAGAAGAGGTCAAACGTATTTCAAAGAATAGTAGACACTGTCCCTAGAAGTGACCAAAGGATTTTCTTCACTCTTTACATTGAAATGTGTGTGCAGCCTACACAGGTTATGTTTTAGACATTAATCACGGTTTTATAAATTGCTTTGCTGCTTTCTTAAGTAAAAAAAAAAAAGAATCCCACAGAAATTGGTACATGTTCTGCTAACTCATGACTTAGATAAAAAAAATCACCACTGGATTCATTATAAAGGGCGGATATGGGTGAGCAAAGGTTTTCTTTAAGCTTAATGAAATAAAAGCCAAGCTTAAAAAGATCAGATTTGAAAGATAAAATACCATAGGTTACATTATAGATTTAATTGTGCTGACAATCCTATTAGCCCAAGAGGGGGTTAAATGAATCACATAAGCAGAGAGGACATTTATATTGTTCAATATTGGTTCATTACTACATCAAGGCAGATGGTGAACATATACACCAGAGATAAAATAGATTTCTGTAAGGGTTGGGATATCTTCGTGTGTGTTGTCTTAATTGTTATTTATTGAAATCTTATATTTTTCTCTTAGAAAAAGTCTGGAAATGTATATTTGTTTCATTGCTATTGTTGTACAGTAGTAATACTTCTTGAGAACTTTATATATGCACATATTTACAAACCAAAAGCAAGAGGAAGAATTTGTAACAAAGAAAATTTTTTTTTATCACATGTGCCATATATTGATTATTTCCACTCAGCCATCATGCTTTCTCAGCCTTTTTTTCTAACAAGCTCAGGCATGTGTTTGGTTCCCATAATGTAAGGACATCTTTACATCATGTATTTACTCTGTCCTCACCTTTTTTTTTCTTTTCTCACTTTCCAAACAGGGTAGCACTATTCTTTATTAGCTGGGTGAGGTAGTGCAGAAGGCGGATAGCAGTTAATGATGGCAAGTTTACTAATGAGTGTAGAGTACAGTGTTAGATGTTTACATTCTTTTCACAGAAAAACAGCAAGACTCCATTATAAGTAACATGCAAGATCATGACCAGAGCGAGCTGCAAACTGAATAGCCCTTTGGTGGCAGTAGTTTAAAACTAAACATTACTGAAGTCTAATGGTGGTACAAAGTTTGTTAGCACAGGGTCTTAATGAGCCACAAGAAAGAACATGAATATGACTGTATATATATATTTTTTCCTTTTGCTTTTTGGTGACATGCAAGCACAAAATACAATAGTGCGGTTGCTTAATAGTATAAATATGAATGGAACTTGTTTTTATTCTGTAAAATACTTTTTTTTTTTTTACGAAAAGAAAGCAATTCAAAAGCGAAGAACAGACTGGATAATATGTTTTTCACCTCTAAACGAAGAGTTTGTATCACATTTTATAGTAAACTATAGTTTCATTCATTTCATTAAGGGAGTTTGTTTGGTGAGGAGTTTCATCTTTGCAGGATTTTTTATGTGTTATTTTATAGGTGATCACATAAAGCAAAAGTTCAAGGAAATGTATGTTAAACGATGACAAATCCTAGAAGTTTAGAAGTCTTGCAGAATAAAGATTACTTTCTTAGATATATCTATTTGGGTACAGTGATCAGCTAAAGTAGTAGTTATTTTATGCAAATGTAATTTACTTTATTTTCACCTCGACAAGGTGAAATACTGAAGAAAGGATACTGATAAAACACAGAAAAAACATAATTAGACTGATAAAACACAGAACAATCATCAACATGACAGAACGTTGAAATTTAAATATCAATGATTTAATTGCTCAAAGAGGCTATATATCAATAGAGAAGAAATCTTCTTTTATACAAATAATATTTCAGATATGTTTTTGCAACCTTTCAGAATGATAATGTATGTAATTTGGGTGGTGGTCAATGTTGATCAACAGGGTTTTACATCATTAAAAGAAGTCTTTGCTATACCTTCTAAGGTTTTGTTTACAGCTCTTTCTGCCAAATTGCTTTTTTTGCAACTACTGTGCCACAAAGCTAATTCACATAAAAACATAATCTGACATTTGAGGAATATTCCTATATACACACTGAACACCAAGTAAAATGCTTCTGCAAATAGTTTAAAAAGTGTTGTCTAAATAAAGTTTGATTGTTTGACTTATAAAAACAGGATTACTCATGCAGGAAAATGTCATCTGTAGATTAACTATTTTTGATTTGCTTACTGTTTTTTAATGCTTATCTGAGGACGTTTAAGCAAAAATTCCATCTGGCAGACCCTAATCAGCCTCACTAACTGCTGACATTGCAAGTTCAAGCTTCAGCTAATCAACGTCAAGGCCAGTGGTGGACGAAGTACTCAATAGTTGTATTTGAGTAAACGTATTGATACACAAAGTCAGATCTTACTCAATTACAAGTAAAGTTACTCTGTCAAAAATCTTCTCAAGTTAAGTTTGAAATACTCACTGTTGAAAACACTTAAATATTTAAAAGTACTTAAATATTCAAAAATATTTCTGTATGATTTCCAGAGAAATTTTAAAAACAAACCAAAAAATAAAATAAAAACGGGGTGTCTTGATTCTCCTCACATTTTCACTATGGAATCAAGGATTAAGGTTACATCCATTACCATAAAGAAACCCCAGCTCTGATTTGAGAAACCAGCCTACAAAAGAAACTTGGCCACGTGGCAACAACTAATACCTTAATAACATTTATAAACTACAAATAATATCTGCCATGAGTTTCTCACATTTTTTTGAATGCCATGCAAACATCTAAAACAGTGATGTCAAAATTCAGACCCAAGGGCTGAATTCCATGTTAAATTGAATTTCAAGAAAGAAAAGCAACAGTGAGTTGCAGAGCTAAGCTGAGCCAAAAGAACAAGTAACTTGTAGCTTCCTCCAAATGTAGTACAGTAGAAAGTACAATATTATACTTTGAAATGTAATGGAGTAAAAGTAATAATTACCCCCAACCCTAACCTAGAAAAAATTGCTAAGGTAAAGTAATGATACTCATTCCCCAGGGTGGAAGACTACTCTAATCCTTTTCCTAATTTACTCATCTAAATGAATGTAAATTCACAGCATCAAATTCTTCTGCCCCTGTGGCAAAAAACTTATTTCATTGTTGTTAAATAAAACTTTTGTAACTGCATCTTTTCTGTGTTCGTCTCTCCAGGTCGAGATGCTTTTATAGCCCTAGAATAATTTTCTTAATCCCACAACAAAGGTAGAAAAAAATATGCATATAAAGTATATATATACACAAACATATACAGACAAAAAAACTCCAAAGACAGTGTTTTATCAAGTTTATTTGTTTACAATAAGACTGGGTAGATGAGCAGATTCCAGTGGAAACATATTATTGATCACAAATGGTTTCTGTCTTGTATGCTGCAACATCTAAGACATAGTCTGTAAAAAAAAAAAAGTGAAAACTGGTTAGGCACCATCCTTTTGAAAGCAGATGAGGACATTTCAACAACAACAAAAAATACTAACCGAATTTATCCAGTCCATATAGTGAGACAAACGAGTGAAGATAGGAGGCTTTTCCCTGCTAGCACATCCAGATCCAGATGAAACACTCAGACTACCATGAACATAATACTTGCCATCAACCTGACAACTCAAAGGGCCACCAAGAAAACCCTGAAAGAAATTATTATTTAATCACATTATTTAATCACATTAGGGCAATATGACACAACTTTAAACACCTATTCATAGTTACAAAAAACTAATTATAAAGTTATATATGCAGAAGTGAACTGATGATTAGATTCAAGTTTGAGATATCAGGCTGTTAGAGAACAGCAGAAATGTTTCGGGATAAATGGCTCTTTATGCTTTATTAAGAGATTAACAATGGAGAATTTCTACTCAAGAACACAGGTTTTTTTTTTTTTTTTTAAGTGAGTGGAGGGCTTTCTGACTCCTTGATAAATATGAATATTTGATGGCCTTCCTTCAATTTCAGTTATGTTAGCTACAATGAATAGGATAAACATTACAGCGACTACAGTTATTACAATTCTGGCCTGTATGCTATTCACCAAACTTGGCAGATGAACTCTCTGCCATCATAATCAAGCTCATCCTCTCTCTCTTTGCTGATCTTTATAAGCCATTTTTTAAATCTTCTTGCTGATCAGATATACAGTGTTCTCCATCCCAGATTAATCTATATCAACCATGTCTCTGATTTTTTCTGCCTTGTCTTGTACTTTATAGACATCTACAAAAGCTTTGGACATTGTCCATAGCACATGTCTTGCATGAAGATCAAATTGCCTACTGTCTCCTTATAACAGTTGCAAGTAAAACATTATAACATCTTAAATTTATACCAATCCATTTGATGTTAATGCATACACTCACCAGTGTAGTGTAAACCTTTGTTAACGTGCAAATACTGAAAATACTGAAACAATGTCAAACTCACTCTTCTTTCATAAATCCCTGCATTGCAGGTAATTTCACTCCTTCCAGCACAGATCATAATGGGTTTTATGACGCCCCACCATGAGTCCCTGCTGGAGCAGGTTTGGTAGTCCACCACTGGAGTGAAGGCCTGCTTAAGCGGCAGAAGCTCACCTTTTTCAACTGATAGAATATGTTATTGATTAAATGTTGTGGAAGAAGAACTGGCTGAAGTGTAACATTTGAGGGATTTGCACCTACCGTACGTTCGTCCCCATCCGGTCATATAGCATGGGTTGTTGTGAGGCAGAATTTGGCCGGGGGAGGGGAGAGAAGCAAGCTGAACGTAAGAGTTTAGGGTGACCTCAGATGATAGTTTCACCAAGGCAATATCATTTCTGAAACACAGGAGGGGCCATTAAACTAAAGAGCCCTTAAGGTTTCATTTAAATTAAGATAAAAATAAAAATAAAAAATGTAAAAAAAAGATTGAGGATGGTTGCAACACTTTTTTTTGGTTCTCCCAATTCCTTTCACAACCTGAACTGCAGCCTCACTTCGCTTCCTCAGTTTTTTTCTCAGTCTTCCCTATATATTTTTTTTTTACTACCAAAGGATTCTCTTTTATATTAAAAGATAATAGAAAATTTGAATCTTACCCTTTAGAAACCAGAGAAGACCATTCAGGGTGAATGTAAATAGAGAAAACAGGGATGATTTGTTCCGTGTCACTGCTGACACCTAGGTCATGTTCGCCAAGAACAGCGCGCCACTTCACGAAGGACACACTGCAAAAGGTCATGTAGATAAACCAAAAAGAGGTAGAAAATCAGCATGCCTTTGCAGGTTTTACAAATTGATTAATCAGATATAAATTTAATTCAGCTTATTTATATAGCGCCATTTCACAACACATGTCATCTCAAGCACTTTACATTTCAACCAAATCAGACAATTTATTCAGAGTTTTCTATCTAGGGAAAACCGGTTGATTGCATCAACAATCAATAAATAACAATAAATGAGTAAATGAGAAGTTTCACAAAACTGCACACATTTAAAACAACCAAAACATATATTATTTAGATAACTCCAAGGTAACACTTTACAATAAGATACACAACATTTGATTAACTAGTAGAGCACCTTAGAGTAGCGTGAGAGTACCTATGTAGAGAAATAGTAATGAACTAATACGTAGTTAACTAATACTTACTGGGGCAGACCCAGTTCAGCCTCATTACAGGACTACTGCTTAGTTTGCTTGGAAACACAGAGTAACTAATCAGTAACTAATGGGTAGTTAAGCAGTACTTATCAGGGTTCTATTGGTTCTTGACCTTAAAAGACCTTGGAGTAGAAATTCCTAGCGATGGTTTTGAATAAACCCTAAGCCTGTGAAGTCAGCTTATGAAAAACAACTTTACTGAGTACCAAAATATTGCAGAGCTTTTATTTTATGGAGTTCATTGAGTTAAGAATAAAATCAAGTAGTGACTAGGTGATTATTACTCAGTAAGTACCTGACCATTAACTAATGCTTTTTTGTGTACGCTTAAGTGAAGTGAAACTATCCATAAGTTCCTGCTTAGTTACTGTGCATTTCCAAGCTAACTAAGCAGTAGTCTTGTAATCCAAGCTGGGCTGGGTTTCCCCGGGTAAGAATTGGATAACTATCCATTAGTTCCTGATTAGATGCCTAGGCGCTCCCTCGTAGGTAATTGCATTTTGTGTAACTTGTTGTAAAGTGTTATCAAATCAGAAAACACAATCAAATCAAGTTTCGGGAGGTATTTGCACTAGCATTACCTTACCTCTTAATACATCTAGCAGAAGAGATGACCCAACGTCGCTGAATGAGGCTCCCTCCACAGTAGTGGTAGAAGCGAATATAGGAACTCCTATTGAAGAAAATTACTGCCATTAATTAGGTGTTTGTCGTTCAAATATAAGAGCAGGATTTCTTATTTTAACGCTCAGATAACGTTAGACTACGAAACATATTTGCCTTGAAATAAGACTTTCTCATTGCTCTTCCGGCACAGAAACAGGTGCAGCAAAAGAGAACATATGATGTGTAATTTTGCAAAATTCTTGTTTATCTAAACATTTTTGATAAATGTTTAGATAAACACGCAGAGAGCTTCATCCTTATATGTATAGCAAAATGCTCAAAGATTAAAAACACACGACAATGTGTCTGTAAAATAGTAAACCTTCCAAACATAATTGTTTGGCCCCATTTATTCTTCTAGAGTAGAATAGAATAGAATAGAATAAAATAGAATAGAAGTATTAAAATAAACCTTACTGTGTGTATATTAAGGTTTGTCCATGAAAATGCAAAAAAGCAATATAAGCATTCAGATACATAGAAAAATTATAAATAGATTGTACAGGATAGGAAAGGCATCTAAAAAAGAAAGCACTGCAGTCATCAACCTCATCGTTGAGGTCTGCAAACAGCATATAAATGCATGAAATCAGAGCGAATTCAAAAGTTCCTGTAAATATAAAAAAAAAATAGACTTGTAAACACAATTTAAGACTAACAAATAAAAAAATAGACTAGCAAACTCAAAGATTAGTTAATTTTTGAGTTTGCTGGTCTAACTCTCATTAGCAGCATTTTTTCTTTGCAAATGTTTTTTTTGTTTGTTTGTTATTCTAACTTTTGTGTTTGCTAGTCTCATTTAAAAATTATCTGTGAATTCATGCATTTGCTGGACATTTCCACCCCTCGACCACATACTGTAAGGGACCTACAGATTAACGTTTGTCACTAAATGAGTGGGCAAAAGACCCAAATCTATGCATTAAAAAATGAGTGAAAACTTTTTTAGCCTTGGAAACAAGTCTCAAACACATTTTTGCCAAAATTGTTCCAAAGAAAATAATAAAGCTGTGTGATGTTTACAGAAATATTAAGTTCAGCCCAAAGAACGTGTGTGAAATCTGAGAACAACTTATTTACATGAGCCATCAATATGCAGCATGAATTCAGGGTAAACACATATTGCTATGTTAGACTAAGCAACATGTTTATGTTGCTGAAACTATGTTTTGTTGAAGAGTCTCCATCATCTGAGTGTGAAAAAAAAGAAATATACGGATATTTCTAACAGCGGTAACTTACGCAAGTAGATGTTTGTACTGAAGAGAGACCTAAGGAGAGAAAGCAAATCTGAGATAGGAAACTACTTCATAGCATAATTTAGGTCTCATTTGCATGTACAGTATGGCTACAAATATTTATATTTATTTTATTCAGTGACAGTGAATGCATTTAAACCAGTTCTTATTGTCGACCATGCCTTACCTGCCAAGGCCAAGAGTTAGGGGTAGCGACCTCAGCCTTCAAACTCCAACTGGTTTTCTTAAGTTCAGCCAGAGCTATCAAAAACAAATTCACAAATGCTTTATTAGAAAGGACTGCTACATAATTATTATAATATAAGATGGTCAAAAGATAAATATTATGAGCTGAGTAAATAAAACCCAGATAAAAAGTCACTACTACATTTTATTGTGTGCTGTCATTATCTTACCAAAGGCTGAAAGAATTGCTAAGAGCAGAAGTTTGAGCATCTTGGTGTCGTGTCAGACTGTTTTTAAAAAACCGAATGCTTCCCTCTGCCTTTAATACCTGTGGCCGTCCTTAAAAAGTGAACTTTGGTCTTATTTTTGACCTAACTTCCATTTCATTTCACCATACACCTGTGATCACAGTGAGTGATAACCACTTACTGCTATCAGAACACACCCACTTTGGTCACGAGCCACTGAGCAAACTAAGGAACAGGAGCTGCAGTGACTCAGAATCTGTAAAGTTTTTTTGGCTTTTACTTTACATCATCCTCAGTGGAAACACATCTAATACCCAGTTCAATTCAATTTCTTTATATAGAACTTATTCACAGCACATGTCATCTCAAGGCATTTTACAGAGACAATTAAACCAGATCAACAGATCTGCTTCAAAGTTTTCTACCTAAGGAAAACCAGCTGATTGCATCGACTCACTAATTGGACAAATCCCACACACTAACAAATACAGTGATACTACAATCGCAACACATTTCCCACAAATGATTAGCCTCTGTCCCAAACAAAAGGTGCGGTTTCCCACAAATGCAATAACTATTGCATTTTTTATGTTTGTTTGGAAGTATATTACTTCCTGCAAATGCAATGATGCAATGTGTGATTGCTGTTGCCCACTCACCAATGTAGAGTACAGAGAAACAGACACTGATTAGGGCTTTTTAAGTGCTCCTTATTTGTAAGAACAGACAGTACAGGAAGGTGGAGGAAGACATTCAGCAGAGATCTCCAGTCCCTAGATTTTCCTATAGTGAGGGTGCTCTCCACCCCCATAGACATTATACACTATATTGCCAAAAGTATTTGCTCACCCATCCAAATTATTGGAATCAGGTGTTCCAATCACTTCCATGGCCACAGGTGTATAAATTCAAGCACCTAGGCATGCAGACTGTTTTTACAAACATTTGTGAAAGAATGGGTCGCTCTCAGGAGCTCAGTGAATTCCAGCGTGGAACTGTGATAGGATGCCACCTGTGCAACAAATCCAGTCGTGAAATTTCCTCGCTCCTAAATATTCCACAGTCAACTGTCAGCTGTATTATAAGAAAATGGAAGTGTTTGGGAACGACAGCAACTCAGCCACGAAGTGGTAGGCCACGTAAACTGACGGAGCGGGGTCAGCGGATGCTGACGCGCATAGTGCGAAGAGGTCGCCAACTTTCTGCAGAGTCAGTCACTACAGACCTCCAAACTTCATGTGGCCTTCAGATTAGCTCAAGAACAGTGCGCAGAGAGCTTCATGGAATGGGTTTCCATGGTCGAGCAGCTGCATCCAAGCCATACATCACCAAGTGCAATGCAAAGCGTCGGATGCGGTGGTGTAAAGCACGCCGCCACTGGACTCTATAGCAGTGGAGACGCGTTCTCTGGAGTGACGAATCGCGCTTCTCCATCTGGCAATCTGATGGACGGGTCTGGGTTTGGCGGTTGCCAGGAGAACGGTACTTGTCTGACTGCATTGTGCCAAGTGTAAAGTTTGTTGGAGGGGGGATTATGGTGTGGGGTTGTTTTTCAGGAGCTGGGCTTGGCCCCTTAGTTCCAGTGAAAGGAACTCTGAATGCTTCAGCATCCCAAGACATTTTGGACAATTCCATGCTCCCAACTTTGTGGGAACAGTTTGGAGCTGGCCCCTTCCTCTTCCAACATGACTGTGCACCAGTGCACAAAGCAAGGTCCATAAAGACATGGATGACAGAGTCTGGTGTGGATGAACTTGACTGGCCTGCACAGAGTCCTGACCTCAACCCGATAGAACACCTTTGGGATGAATTAGAGCGGAGACTGAGAGCCAGGCCTTCTCGTCCAACATCAGTGTGCAACCTCACAAATGCGCTTCTGGAAGAATGGTCAAAAATTCCCATAAACACACTCCTAAACCTTGTGGACAGCCTTCCCAGAAGAGTTGAAGCTGTTCTAGCTGCAAAGGGTGGACCGACGTCATATTGAACCCTATGGATTAGGAACGGGATGCCACTTAAGCTCATATGTGAGTCAAGGCAGGTGAGCAAATACTTTTGGCAATATAGTGTATATTATTCATTTGAGATTAAACTGATTTCAGATAATAAAGTAAAAAATCTCTGTGTTATTTTTGATCAGGAAAAAAAACAAAAACCTTTACTCTCTTTTGTAAATCACTTTACAACAAATTGTTCTCTATAGATCATAATACTCATCAAATCTTTAAAAGTACTGAATAATAATATACTACTAAAATATATAATATTTGTAAAACATGATCCTTATATTAATATAAAACTTTGTGTTTGTCATATTTAAAAGCAAAATATATAACTTTGCATTTATCTCATCCAATTTAAGTTCAGTTTAAATCGTTTTTTATCTGAATAAATATGTGAAATCTAACTGAAAGATAATTTCAAAACTTGTTTTGGTTTTTTAAGGGGTTGTGACATGTAAGAGATTATTGTAATATTATCTCTGACTTCTTTCATGTAACTAAAATGAGATCTAAGGCACCTCCTATTCATTCTGACTGCAGCTGTCTGAACTGCGGTCCGAACCAAGTTGACGGCCTTCTAGGCAAGTCGGCCAGCGTCCCATGAGGCGTCTACGTATATAATGTCTATGTCCACCCACACCTGCCACATTTCCTTAGTAGAAATCTGAAGTGGATGGATTTTGCAACTTGTGAATGTACAAGTTAAACAACTGGGTATTGCATCAAGGCCATAGTGGGAGATAAGACTTTATCACCTCTTACAACTGTGTCAGGAAAGCAGTGGCAATTTAAATAGATTTATAGCTGTGTCATCACCATAGGAAATTCCAGAACGTGTCCATTAACAGGATTTTTTATTACTTACAATAAATGTTTCCTCATTCTAAATGTTTCTTCTTTTTATATATATTGATTTAATATATATAAAAACATTGGAAATGTGTGATTTCTGATTTTGTTTTGTTTTATGCCACAGTGGGAATGTTTTATAGTGGCTCTCAGCCTATTATAGTAGAAGTCAGTTGAAAGTAGTAGTAGTAGTTGAAATTGTGATAGTAAACTTGCTTTCTTAAGCATTAGTGTTACCAGAGGCCCCAGGGTAATATTTCAGCAAGAGCTCATCTCAATACATCACAGAATCCTAATAACATACATATTTACTTATTTTTCTTTCATTGTATTACCTGCCAGAAATACTCCTTTTTTAAATGCATGCCAAACTTTTATGCCTTTCGGGCTGTATTCTCAATTAGGAGGGGTAAACATTTGCTTATCAACTACAGACTGTGTTATCAGTAAATTTTACATGTGGTTAATGTTTGATATGATTAATTAATACCAAGAAAACCTTCTACCAATATAGTAGAGCAAATATGATGAAAAGTCAGCTCTAATCCACCAGAGACACAGCACCAGGGCTATAGTGTACCTTTAAATGCAATTTTTTTTTTATAATTTCTGCTCTAAATGTATTGCTCTGTCAGCTAAAGATCTGTTTTGGTCTCTATACTTTAATTAAATAAATCAATTCAAGCTAAAATGTAAGAGGCTATACTGAGCCTGATCTCTTTGTATTCTTACCTAGTAAAACCCCCCCTGCAACCCTGGTTTGCATTTGTATAGCTCACAGCATGTTCATTTACATGTTAAAGCCTCCCCTAGAATTCCATGGGGGGGAGGCATGGGGGGAACACTGCCTAAGAGAGTCCACGTCAATTTCTGACAATTTACGGGAGTTTTCGGCGAAGCCTGCAAATTGTCGTAAACTGCCGCTAACCTGAAGTTCCACGACAATCTACAGTGCCGCATATTGACGAAAATCCCACTTTTCATGCAGTGGATGACACCAAACGCTGCAGCACTAAAGAGAGCAGAGCCTCTTCATTTAGCTTAAAGATGATAGGCTGTTGTTAACATATGAAGACACAATCTAATCCAAGGCATCTTCTGCCATTTATTCAAACTTTGACATAATATGTAAAAAATTAAAAATGTGTGACCTCAGGAGATTTATCCACTATATTCACATGGGTGGAATGTTAAATGTACACCTTTTTGTACTTTTTCTGTAAACCAACAGACCACAATGACTAAAACTGGCATTTAAATGGACAATAAAACCTGAAACTAGCTGTTAATACAGAGAGACCTGAAGCTCGAAGCAGATTTTTATTGCGCCTATTATTAAATTGGCAATATTGCACAAAATAAAAATTGATCGGAAAACTGTTTGGTACTAATCTGACGCTCAGATAATACCTCTGAATAAAAATAAAAAAAAAATCCAAGAAGTTTAAATGTGGCATGAACAATAAAGAAAAATAAGCTTTAATTTAGGGCTGAAACAATTCATCAGATTAATCGTGATTGATTATTGAAATAATCGTTAACTAATTTAGTAATCAATTAATCATTAAATGCAGTGTAGAGACTATGAATCCTTCCTTTAGCTGACAGAGCTACCCACTTAGAGCAGTAATTATACCAAAGTTGCAAAAAAATATATAAATATTATGTTTATGTTTTTTAGATTTTTTTTAAGCCTGCTCTACTATTTTAATATGCTCTACCCAGAACTCCTAACGTGGAAAGTTTTAGTTTCACTTGGTTTACATTTCATTGCTTTGTACTTGTGACAGTGTAATGACAATAAAAGTAAATCCTATTTTATTATTTTACCAGCCCTTTAGCCATTCACTTTTTGGCAGAACATCACTGTTTGGCACGACAAATGAGAAGCATCAGTGTGCAGAGGAAGGCCAAAGTTGGAGCTAAGCGAGAGCAATGATGCATTTCTGCACAAGCACAGCTGGAAGAGCAAAGTTGGTCTGGAAACGGAAAATTTCGGAATACTTTCACCCATGCTGCAGCTGCCAGCCCCCCCACCGTCTGTTTTGACTCCGCCCATGCAGAATGTTCAGCATTCTAAGTGGGCGGGCATTATGATGTCATAACATATCATACATAGAACACAGCCCAGTCATAAGCCAGTTTATGTTTCAGAGCAGTTTGATCGAGAGCTAGTTCACCACACACGAAAAAAAAATTTTTGGAAAAGATTTTAGAGATTCATTTTAAGTCTTCGAAATGCTGTCAAATATTTACAAAGACGATATGGACTGGGAGAATAA